AAAAGCAGATCGTTATTTTCATAAATCAAAGCAATAAAATTTGAATAGAAAAATTATAGGGTGGGGTGGGGGTGCCTATTTTCTTACCAACTCAGATACTTCTTGACTTTTAGTCTCATCCAGTTGACTAAAAGACAAACTAAATCTTCATCTTTCTTCTATGAGGACCTGAACCTGAAATAAAGCTTGTACGGAAAATATGTGAAAAAACGCCTTTGGAAAATCTTCCTCAGCTCTTTGAATTCCAGTAAGTTCCACACCCTCGCTGCACCGTCTCCTACTGAAAGAGCCAATTAGCTTGTAGCAGTGTGAATGTGAGAGTGAGCCGGTACCCTGTTTTCCACATTACAGATAACAATTGAGCGTCTGTGTTGTGCACTTTTACAGTGACCTCGATGTTCGGCCCTGTCTATTGTGAGGCAGGTGTGCTCTTCAGCTGCTGAAGCAGCTCTTAGAAAAGATTTGGATCTGAAACCACAATCACAGGCACTTAAGTCCAGGTAACTCTTGCCTTTTCAGCACAGTTGTCTGTCCAAGAAAGTACAAAATGTTTAGCAGTTACATTTCTGATTGCACAGCATTAGCAAGAAATTATTTTTATTTTTTATAATAAATATAAGTTTGTTATTAACTTAGCCAATTGGTGAAACTATCATAAACCATTTACAAGATAATCATGGTTGTTACTAGCAACGGCACACATCATTAGCAACCTTCAATAACATCCAAATGATTCTTTTTCCAGATATTTAAAAAGATCCCACCAATTTCTTTGTACCAATACTTTTAATTTTAAATTTTTTAACTGTTTTTTGCACGTGTTCTCCTACTCATCATGCTGTGCTGGATCCAGGACAGACTGAGATTCTCAGCACAGACTCTCAGACTTCCCCTCCTCAGACACCTCCTCCAGCTCCTCTTGGGGAAGCCCAGCACGCTCCAGGACCAGCTGAGAGACGTAGTCCTGGACCGACCCTGGGTCTCTTTCCAGTGGGACGTGCCTGGAGGCGTCTAGGGGGCATCAAAAACAGATGTCTGAGCCACCTCAGCTGGTTCTTCTCGATGTGGAGAGGAAGAGCTTCTCCCAGTTGGCTGAGCTCCTCATCCTATCTTTAGGTCATGATCCAGATTTTATGACCAAAGGTGAGGATATGAATATAGACTGAGACTTAAGCTCTGTCTTCACCATTATCTATTGATCTGCATCTTCATTCTCCGCTCACTTGTTAAGACGACCTTAATATACTTGAACTTCTCTACTTGAGGCAAGAACTCTCCTCCAACCTGAAGCGGACAAACCACCTTTTCATACTCAGCTGCGGAATCAACACAGCCCAAATCAGAGCAGATTCCAAATTCTCTGGTCCCCAGACTCCCTGCAGACCTCTGCTGGGCTTAGAAATCCTCTCTATAAAGGCTATGAACAGGACAGATAGAATAAAAAAATTGTAAATCTCTTAGTTCATTTTAGGCTTTAAGCATTGAGAGTAAAAGCAAGATTTCACCATTAAAAGAACGACCATTGGTGGCTGTTTCAGTTTTAAAACACAACAAATAGGTGGTTAGTATGGACTTACAGATAAAAGAAAACAAAAAAACAGTAAGCATTTCCCAGTCATTTATCTCTGCTGGACTGTTTTAAAGGTATTGCTTGTCAACAAATTTAAGAAGATGACTTAAGACACACAGAAAAAATTTAAACTGACATTAGCCTTAGAGCTCCACAGCAAACAGTATCCAAATCTCACAATAATCCATCACAGACATAAAAGCATCAATCAGTTAAATCACCATTGTCTTATTATCCTAAATTAAAATCATAATAAATATTAATAAATGCACCTACAGTCCTTGAAAGGTATTTGTAATCTCTGAACCCTTGCTCTTGTAAATTCAATTACCGGTTAGAGGAATTTCTATTCTAGCTGATATTTACATCGTATACAAATTCAACTTCATACATTGTAGAAAAAAAAGGCTTAAGCAAACTATGCATCATTTGACATCCATTTCAAAATTATCCATTTCTTTCTGTTTGTCTGTAACATATATCAAAGGTTTCACGTGTTTTGTGGCAAAATATGAATTTTTTTTTAAAATAATTTGTTATTACATTTTCAATGTTAAAGCATCCATTATGAAGTTTAAGCTTTTTTCCGCCCGTTTTTCAGTCCCCTTCAGCAATGGCTGCGTTCTTTATATCCCACAGGAAAAGATCCAGATTAAATCACTTCCTCCTACATTGTGATACTTTGGAGAGGGATTTGGACTACACTCGGTTTTGGGTTACGCCCTCAGACTCTCTCTCTCTCTCTCTCAATGATTTTTGCATCTAAAGACAGCCAGTTAAAGCTTTTAACTAAGACAGTACAGAAACAAAAAGATTTCTCTATATTTCACCTGTAATAATGCAGGTTTTGGAGTTTTGGATTAATTACCTAAACATTACAATCAACAGATCTGTCAACAACACATTTAATGAATCTAATTAAAATATTAATCTATATAAAGGTTTAAAAGTTGGTTAACCTAAGGGTTGATTTTGTTTTAACTACTAACAGTATTTGTTATGTTTTCCTCATCCTCATGGGTGGACTATAGGCCTGATTGTTAAAGATGTATATGGACGTTTATGAGATATTCTCTCTCGCTTTCCCCCATCGTCAGGGTAATTAAGACCTTGAGCTTTGTGTGCTGGAGGAGATTCAGCTCAGTTTTGTCTGGCATCACCTTTAGGAACTCCGACTAATTCTTTACTGGAGAAAATACCACAAGCATGAACAAACTTTGTTTTTTTTCTGAAGTGTTTGAATGCCACTGGACGTTTGCTGCAAATCAAATTGACAGGAGACTCAACCACTGATGGGTCTTGCCTGAATGGTGTGTCAAGAAACTGCATAAAATGTCCTGGCAAGAAAAATATTTCAGTCCTGCACACATCATACACTGTAGAATAAACAAGCACAGCTTCCTACAGAAGAGTAAGGCAAAACTAACAAGACACAACTACCAAACGATTTAGATTTTTATCTAATGGCCATACTCCCTGTCCCTCTGGGAAAACATCCAGATCTATCCCACATTACAAACAATTACTGGGCTAAACATCCACGACTATCCTAGAAGGCTTTTTAAAAAACTTTTATTCCATTGAAAAAAATTATTTATGGTAACTTAAAATTTACAAATACGGTACATTAAAAGTACTTTTTTTTATTGTGTTTATTGAATAATAAACACAAGATAAAAAACCTTTAGGGAATGGCTAAAGATATACTTTCTGGAACAGAAAAATCTCAGTTAAGTAATTTGCAAATATTAGAAATAGGAGTGAGTTTAGACTTTCTAACAAAAATAAATAAATAAAGCTTGTAGTTTTATAGTCATTGTTGAGATCAAATGTCAGTAATGCAACAGGAGTGACTCCCCCTGAAGTCCCATTCCTGCGATGGTGTTTATTTAAGGAACTGTTCGCATAAGGCTAGGCACACCGGTTTCCAGCTGAAAGCTACAGTAAGTACAGGAAATGCTGACTACAGCCAGCATTTCCTCTAACTTCTCTTCTAACGCCTCTTATTTGTTGTGAGAAGAGAAAGTTCTTGTTATCTTGTAAAAAATGCTAAATAGGACTCAGACCTTCATAGCTGAGCGTGTAAATCATAGAAAAACATGCTGTTTTTGGAAGACTTTTTGTTATAGAAACACATTCTGTTTCATTTTTGTTGGTGTATAGTTAAAATAAGAGTTTTTTTTAACCTTTTTCAGCTTACCTGGAGTTGCAATTGGTGTCTGAGTTGAGCTTCAATTGTTTGGTAGATTGGACCCATTTAACATTGAAACGCTTGATGTCAGATCAAACAAACAGTGTGGGAACTTCTGACTCAAAGGGTGTGTTCAATTTCTATCTGGACCGGGTCGTTCTAAGTCCATAAAAATAAGGCCAGAAGAGTTTTGCTATGGATTCAAACACCTCCAGCCTTCTCTGGCCTATTCTCTGTCACCTAGCAACCATGACAGTTGACACACAAAGCAGGCAAGAATCTATTACAAATAACTGTGCTTAACCCTTTAAAGCCCGATCCAAGAATAAAATAAAACTGAAAATTACTTTTTTTTGGTTTGAAGTCCTTATTTGGCCTTTTAACAAAATATGTAAAAATAAAAAACAGAAATAAATGTTTGATATTAATAATTTATTCTTATGCGATAAGTCAAGATGATTTTTTGTGTAGTCTTCTGCCCTCTGTTATCAGGTATATCTGATTGTGTACAATAGGATTTTGAGCAAAGTTTTTACCATTAAATTATGCAAAAGGTGTCAGACGCAAAACATTTCAGAAACCGTATGTATCAAAAATGATACATTTGGCATTACAGGGTTAAATGTCAGCCAAACGCATTTTCACAGGGACAGATAAAATCTTTCAATAAATCAAACATTACCCGCTGCATATTTAACTTGTTTGAAACAACTCTTCTCATTAATTTCAGAGATGCCGCCTTGCTTGGACTCGCAGTGAATCACCCGATACTCAAGGCTACGTACAGTATAGTTACACTGGACCTGTCCTTTAAAACGGACAAAAAGAAGGATGCATTTGTCGGCTGGATCACAAAGAGTCTTCCAATCTGAACAAACCTCCACACCTATGACGTAATTAGCCGAAAAAATGTGTCCCTTGGAGGACAAAGACGCTGAATTAGAACTCAGCAAAAGTAATTGAAAGAAATTAGGCTACAGGCTTTCCAAAACGTTAACAAACAATCCACTGGACTTGTTTCCAAGTGTGAAGACCTTTCGCTTCCCATCCAGGAAGCTGTTTCAAATCAGAATGTCAGAAATAGCGTTGGTTTCGAGGCTTTATAGAGTAACAGAACGACTGTGGCGTTGGAATGCTCATCCAGTGACATTTTAGTTGTAAAGGGTCAAATAAAAAAGCTTTTTGAAAGATACTTTTCAGTAAAAAATTACATAATGTCTGTTTAAAGCTAATGAAAGATTTGTTTATGGCATTTTATTTAAGTACAACACAAAATGGTTCCCAATTATTTAAGCACAGCTAAATATAAACTTTAAACATCTGGGCAGCACTGTGTTTCCATCACCATTTTGGTTCAGTTGTAAAAAACAAAAACAATCATTTATTATTTTTATTTTGAGTTGCACTATATCAATATATGTAGTTTTTGTGTTATTTTTTGTTGAATAAACTAAGGAAATAAACTTTAGCAATCATGGGTAAGCTATGGTTTTAATTATTAAAAACATGTGCCAATGAAGCAGAAAACAATAAGCTATGGATTAATCTCATCTGGACTGTTTTAAAGATATTACATGCTGTCAACAAGTTTAAAAAGACAAATTAAAATAAACAAGCAAAACAATTACATAGTATAAATCTGTCTTATGAATCAAAGGCTTATCATACTATAATGAGTCAGGTCTGCTGACACACATTTCTGCTCCGAGAAACTAAGCAACATATCATAAATCAAGTGTGTTTATCGATTTCTACATATGGTTTCCAAGTATAAGTTAAGATAGAGGTGTGTGAATGTGTTTCATGCCCGACATTGAGAGTCTGTATGTAAACTTGAGCATATGTCTTTAATGTGTTTAACTTTATGTCAGGACAGATTTACGTTCTCATATTCCCCGTGGTCCGAGTCCTCCAGCTCTATACCCGGCACCAGGCTGTAGTACTCAGTGGACTGAGTCAGATAAGCCTTCTCCCTGTCAGCCGAGTCTTTCATCACTTCTGTCACACTGACCGTGTCCAGCTCTGTCTTGTTGGCCCCGTTGGGCTCCTGGGAGCCCTGATTCCCCTCTGCGGAGCTGGAGCAGGACGCTGGGGGAAGAGACTCCACCGAGCTGAGCTTGATCTCCACCTCTTCGTAGATGTCCCGAGTGCTGCCCAGGAGAGCCGAGGCCGGCCGCAGCAGCAGCTGGTTCTTCAGGATTCCCTCTCTGCCGGAGTCAGCAGCTCCTCCCTGCTCGGCCCCTGGAGGCTGCGGTTTGTTGGGCTGTTTATGGTTGTTGTAACCAAAGCTGGGAGCCCTCTTCTTGGAAGAGCTGAAAGCAGGTGTTTCCTTTTTCTTCCTCTTCCTCCCGCAGCACCAGCAGAGCAGCAGGGCAGAGAGGATAAGCAGGGGGAGCACGATGAAGAGTGCTGTAAGGCCGGCTGGGCGGCAGATGTCACTGATCCTCAGAGACCACACCGTCCTCCCGGCCAGGTGTTCAGGAGAGGAGCATGTCAGGTTTCCCACAAGATCCTCCAGCCTGGTGGTCCTGTTAGCCTGCCGGCCTGCGTCCAACACCTCCAGGAACAAACAGGAGCATTCCCAGAGGTTCTCATCCAGCTCTAGTCTTTCAAGACTGCGTATCTGCAATAAATCACCAGGGAGGGAACGTAGCTGGTTCCCCCGCAGATCCAGCCTCTGGAGATGATCAGAATCCTGGAGAAAGTCTTTGGGGAGCTCCTCCAGGAGGTTCTCACTCAGATCCACCTCAATCAGACTAGGCTGCCCTGCCAGGAACTGCTTTGGTAACGCTCTCAGTCTGTTCCGACCTAAGTAAACCCTCTGCAGTTCAGAAGCTTGTTTATCACTAACATAAATAAAGCTGATGTTACAGTTGGAGAGATCCAGAATCTGTGCTTTGGTCCCATTGGTGAACACAGACCAGTGTGCATGACTGAGTGCAGAGCCAGAGAAGTTCAAGCAGCAGGAAGTTGCCAAACCTTCAGAGGGAAACTGGGATAAAATCGTTGCTGGTGGACAAACACATCCGATAACCGGACCAGCCTTCAACAGGAAGGTAGAAAGAAGAAGGAGATCCCAGCGGAGAACCATCTCTGCAAAAAAAGATGATTTCATCAGACTACATCCCCATAGTAATTTATCTGCTTCCTCAGCCAACCTACCTGCATCCCCGTCTCCCCCACAGAGTAAGAAGGAAGCTGTTATACTCTGATAAACTCAGCAGTTTCTCAGGGGACTCCTGTTTGCTCTGAGGATTGTAAATGTTGGCATGGTGACAGGGATCAGTGGGGAGTGGCGGTCCTTCGTTCGGCTGCAGGAGAGGAAACAGATGCTGTGGTGAAAGGCTTCAAATATATAAATATTTGTTACCCTGTCCTTCAGTAATCATTTTACCAGCTAATCAACACAATAACCAAAACTTTACAACCTTAACAAAAGTTCATTTATTTTAGTCCTTTCATTAAAAAAGTGAAACCTAATTATGATACAGACTCTTTTTACGCAGAGCGATTCATTTCAGACATTGGTGTTTACGAATTTTGACAGGCATACTGCACAGCTTTTGAAAATTCAAGATTCAGTTTTACAGAAAATGCTAATTTTACAAAGGTTAAAGCAGAAACATCAGTTTGCTGAAATATATTCCAGGCTGTTGGCTTCTTCAAGGATTATTAGGTTAGTGTTGAGCTACACAACATTCAAAACAGGGTCTTAGCCAATCACAGGTCTCATTTAGAAATAAAATGAAAGTAAAAAGGCCTTTTTCATCTTTAGATCAGGAAAGACATCTCTGAAATTATCCCCCTTTGAGAATTGTCTTAAATCAGGAATGTGACATTTGCAGCACATGTGAATAAGTTGGTTTTTGGTGATTCTTGAAGATTTAATCTTAAAGAGTTATGGAATAAGTCCTGTTGCTTGTGCACCGTTTTCTGGGACCCTTTTTCCTTCCACTCAACTTTCCTTAGATATTCTTTGATAGAGAAGAGATAGTGTCTTTTAGGGGTGGGTATTGCCAAAGAAGTCACGATGCGATTCTATCACGATGCATCACGATACTTGAATTATTGCGATGCATTGCAATATTTGTGTTCCCACAGTATTTAATTCTGGTGTAGCAGTGTTTGCAAATTGCGTGCGTCATATCAACTGCATTTTTACCTTTGTTTTTGAAACCAAAATGCTTCCAAACATCGGATTTGAAATGTGATGGAGCCGGACGAAGTTTCTCAATCTCCTCCATGTTTTGTTTTTGAATGACTTGTCGCAGTATCCCGCGGCCGGAAATGCTTGTGACACAAGGCAGCGTGCGTCAACACATCCGTAGCAACATCTACTGGACTGGAAGTTGTATTACACTTGTTTTTGGCTGATGTTCGCCAACCATTCATGCAATTTTATTTATTCATTTTTTAAATTAATAATCAATACTTGGCGTCAAGAATCGATGCAGTAGATCACGAAAATTAGAATCACGATGCATCATCATGACGATTATTTTTCACACCCCTAGTGTCTTTGGTAATTATCTATTTGGGATTAACATTTGACTGTGTGCTGCATAACCATTAAGTCGGCAGTCTTCCCCATGATTATATACCCAACAAAAGAATATTTCTGAATGAAAAATTATTTTTATTGGCTTTAGGTGAGATTTACATTTTGGTGAAACTGAGGTGTGAATTTCTTTGGATATAAATCATATTATAAATAAATGAAATAATGCTTCATATTTTTGTAAAAATCTGTATATGAATTTCAACCAAAATTAAGCTGTTGTCACAATTTTGTTAACAGAATTTTACAGGGTAGGTAACGAGGTATATTTTTCTTTCATAATTAAATTAAATACCAAGGAAAACAGTTTATTTAGTTAGATATCAAAAACCTGACACTGAAAATTCTATTTTTGTCACGTCTATCACCTATATTTAATTTCTGTTTTGGGAAACAGATGAAAAGAAATTGGGAGGAACTGATGTTTTCAAGACACAAATAAAGTAATTACTAGTCACCTCCTGAAATGCCGGCGTACAGTGGGGCTGCCTCAGCCTAAATGCAGCACATGTGGTGAACGTAAACAAGGCCTGCCATTCCTCAATGACCGACACGTGAAACAAACAGGATGCAGAAAAGGGTGCTTGTTTGTTTTTAACGTTGATGATGTCAGCCGGTCTGAAGACAGGAGCTTCATGGGATCAACAATTTTACCCAAACATATATGCAGTAAGCTTGAAACTAATAATCAAATATGCAACTAATCCAGAGTAAAACTACTTTAAAGTGGGGAAACAGGTTAGCTTAAACAATGATCAAAGGACTGTGCGCCAACTGAGGACCCCATGATAGCTGCACCGTAAATCTGTGTTGAAAAAAATTCTTAACATGATGATTTAATTTTTTTAAAGGAATAAAAAAGTTAGACAAACAAACCTTTCTATTTGCACCATGTCGTCAGGTTCAGACAACGATTTACTCTTGGATCTTGATGCTGAATTCAGATTCCTCTAAATCTGAGATCTACAACTGAATCATGTATTTATAATCAAAGCTCCAAACTCTTGTTAAGGAAGGCTGGTTACATTTTTAAATGCAAGGACACCTCTGGTTTTATTAACCCCGTCTATAATCTGCATTCTTATGTTTATTAATCTTAATTCATTTAAGCATTTTGCTAAATATTGCTGTGAGTGAGTCAATTGATTTATACACATAAATAATAGACTGATTAATTGAATTTATTAAAAGGGATTAACCTAATTTTATCAGTTCATTGTCACCCACGTAGCAAAGGGCTGCTTACTTTCTGACAGGCAGGATAAGGACGACTCTTGAATAGGTGTCTGACAACGTGGGCTGAATATTTCAAATGAGTACCCATAGATGAGATACACAGTAACTGGCTTCTGTCACTGAGGAAAGGGTTACAGTGGGAGGCTTTATCTATAAATACAGGGTGAGTGGCCAGCCTACCAAAATCACTTCAAGAGCACAACAATGACTTATCCAGAGGGTTGAGGAAAAAAATGCTACTTAAAACTAAATCTGAAGCGCAAAATGCTTCACTTGTCTCAGTTCAGGTCAGTAATCACCAGTGAGAAACAGAAGCACCACCCCTTAGCTCTCGAGTGTCACTCCCAATGACGTCACACACAGCTGTAATGGGCACCTTGATTGAAGGGAGGACCTTCTCTTCTGGAATCAATAACGTCTTGTTTTCTTTTCCTAACTTGTTTTTTTCTGTTAGTGTGACAAAGATGATGCAAACCCGCGGAACTTACAGTTAAATGCCAATGTTTTGCTCTGGCGTCTGGTGTTGTAGGAGGTTCCTTCCTGTTAAAAGGGAGTTTTTCCTCTCCACTGTCGCTACAAGCATGCTCAGTGTGAGGTTTCCTTAGATATAAAACTTTCAATCAATTTGACTGTATGACCTGGTGAACTGTAAAGTGCCTTGAGATGATGTGTTGTGACTTGGTGCTATATAAATAAACTGAATTGATTTCCATTATTTCGCCAAATCCCAGTGAGATTGCACTGATCCAGACTGAATGGTCCACCCGCCCTACCAGTTATGTGGTTTGGGACGGCCCTTGATGTGGCAGACCCTCTGTGGGCAAACAGAGGGTTACTGCTCAGGGTTAGTGTTTAGGGGCCGGTTTGGGATTGGGCCAGAGACTTGGCAAGAACAGCATCTATCGCGGAATTCAAAGGTCAAAACAGGAGCTGACCTCAAAAAGAACAAGTCCCTGTCTAACTTTTCCTGATATTCTTTGGCCCATAAAGACATCTGTCATAAAACTTACCCAGAGAACATCATTCAGCTGAGCATGGTGGCGATACTGTGATGGTCTTAGCATGATTTGTTGCAACTGGACCTGCAATTAGTAGTGGCTGAAAAAGATCATTCTGCTATAAACAGGGGGCCATATTCCTCCAAGGTGGTGTGAAACATTCTGTCAGTGAATGCTGTTGGACCATGTTTTTTTTTTTGTTTTCTTTGTAAATAATACTAGTATATCCAGTCAGTTTATCGTTTTCTCATAGTAAACAAAAGGAGAAAGAATATCTACGAGAGTGAAAACTGTGTAACAGCACTGCACAGTTTGGTTTAACACCACTGGGATTTAAAACCGCTACCTTTGTAATGACATACACTATATTGCCAAAAGTATTTGCTCACCTGCCTTGACTCACATATGAGCTTAAGTGACATCCCGTTCCTAATCCATAGGGTTCAATATGACGTCGGTCCACCCTTTGCAGCTAGAACAGCTTCAACTCTTCTGGGAAGGCTGTCCACAAGGTTTAGGAGTGTGTTTATGGGAATTTTGGACCATTCTTCCAGAAGCGCATTTGTGAGGTCGCACACTGATGTTGGACGAGAAGGCCTGGCTCTCAGTCTCCGCTCTAATTCATCCCAAAGGTGTTCTATCGGGTTGAGGTCAGGACTCTGTGCAGGCCAGTCAAGTTCATCCACACCAGACTCTGTCATCCATGTCTTTATGGACCTTGCTTTGTGCACTGGTGCACAGTCATGTTGGAAGAGGAAGGGGCCAGCTCCAAACTGTTCCCACAAAGTTGGGAGCATGGAATTGTCCAAAATGTCTTGGTATGCTGAAGCATTCAGAGTTCCTTTCACTGGAACTAAGGGGCCAAGCCCAGCTCCTGAAAAACAACCCCACACCATAATCCCCCCTCCACCAAACTTTACACTTGGCACAATGCAGTCAGACAAGTACCGTTCTCCTGGCAACCGCCAAACCCAGACCCGTCCATCAGATTGCCAGATGGAGAAGCGCGATTCGTCACTCCAGAGAACGCGTCTCCACTGCTCTAGAGTCCAGTGGCGGCGTGCTTTACACCACCGCATCCGACGCTTTGCATTGCACTTGGTGATGTATGGCTTGGATGCAGCTGCTCGACCATGGAAACCCATTCCATGAAGCTCTCTGCGCACTGTTCTTGAGCTAATCTGAAGGCCACATGAAGTTTGGAGGTCTGTAGTGATTGACTCTGCAGAAAGTTGGCGACCTCTTCGCACTATGCGCGTCAGCATCCGCTGACCCCGCTCCGTCAGTTTACGTGGCCTACCTCTTCGTGGCTGAGTTGCTGTCGTTCCCAAACACTTCCATTTTCTTATAATACAGCTGACAGTTGACTGTGGAATATTTAGGAGCGAGGAAATTTCACGACTGGATTTGTTGCACAGGTGGCATCCTATCACAGTTCCACGCTGGAATTCACTGAGCTCCTGAGAGCGACCCATTCTTTCACAAATGTTTGTAAAAACAGTCTGCATGCCTAGGTGCTTGAATTTATACACCTGTGGCCATGGAAGTGATTGGAACACCTGATTCCAATGATTTGGATGGGTGAGCAAATACTTTTGGCAATATAGTGTATGTACACATATTTTAACAGGAAGAAACCTCCAGCAGAACCAGGACCATTGTGAGCAGCCATCTGCTGAGGCCGACTGGGGTTCAAGGAGACAGAATCAAGACCTGATGTCTTTCTATCATACCATGTTGTTCTTGTTCCACCTTTTAAATCAAATCATTTCTAAACCAGTGATGGGTCTGCAGGTACACTGAATTATACTGCAGTATTAAAAGAAATACGGCATCTATTATTTTTGTTCCATTTGTCTCATTTTGACCTCTAACTTCAATGTATTTTATTGAGATCTGAGTCACTAGATCAGCTAAAAGAAATTGTGAAGTAGTAGAAATTATGCATGTTTCTCCACAACTTGACATAACTAACAGATAACTGATGGCATTGTCTCTGATGGCATTGAACTCTAAATTAGTGTTTATTCAACATTTTGTCTTTCTGTCCCCTTTTTATAGGTTTGGACTGATATTAACAATAGTCTTCTGTTGTTAATGTATGCTTACATTTGTTTCTGAAAAAAATACAATTTACGTTTCAGAGAAATTCTGATGTACTATACCAAAAGTTACCCCATGTTTCTCTGAGAGGAAACTTATGGTTAGCTTTTTCTTTGTTTAAATCAACATAAATATAAAAAGTTTTGCAAAAACTAAGATTATGGCAAAAAAAGGTGTCATAATGTTACTTTGAGCAACCCCCAAATAATACTGGTTTGTTGTTCTTGTAATTACAGTGCTTATAACAGCATTGTTTTAAAATGCTCCTCTTGCAAGAGCCAATGGGCATCTTTGTACAAATAACATAAGATAATAATACTGTTGACAAATAATGGATAATATATTGCTCTTTTCTTTATTTCAAAAGTCAGCTATGTTGTCTGCATGAGCTATAAATAAAAGTATATCTTAAAGTCATTCAGTCTCCCACAACCTTTCCAAAGCGAAACAAATCAAAAAGAGGCAACATAAAAAAGCCCAGAATGGACTATTTCTGAGAATATCAGCAGGTCCAGTGAGACCCTTAAACAAAGGCAGGAAGTGAGGGCCCATGCACAAAAACTCTGTGTGCTTTCTGTATCTGTTTTTAAACAAACCTAAATCAATGTTTCTTGCTGCAGTCTCCAGTTAATTATTTGCTGAGTACATCTGCAGGGAGTCTTGGGTTTATTGGTCCAGCTGTAGACAACATACAGGCTGAACTGGCCGACCTCGCAAACATCTGATGTAGCAGATTTAGAAGTTCTTGTCTGGATGTTAGTAAGATTCACTTCATTCCCTCATTGAGCTCAGTTTGAGTCGACCCAACCTCAGAGCATATCATTGTGCCAGATCAACTTTACTCTTCTTTTTTGTTATTTATTTATTTATTTATTTATTTATTTATTTATTTATTTATTTTATTGACAAAAAACAGGGTAAAGCTTTCATAATGAGTTTAAAAAGTCAGTAAGTAATCACTGGTAGATGAAACACTTTGTATACCTTTCATGAAAGTAAAAATACAGCAGAAAAAGGTTAAAACAAAAAAAAGGGCCTTTAAAGTGATAAAAGAGATGACAGTTTGATCAAACTTTTGTAAAACAAATCGGTTCTTAGCTGATTTTTGGAAACACCACTAAAACATCAACAAGAATCAAGAGACAGCCAGTCTAAAAATTCATGTTCATTAGATCATCTTGAGGAAAGCTATCTAGCTCCTCTTGCTGGATTACCAGAGTTTGCATAGTTGGGACAATTGCAGAAGATCATTAAATAAAGACTATTATTTAATTTCCTGATTTTGTAATAAAAACTAAAGTTGTTTTTAAATTGATTGTATATGATGGACCATCAAGAAACAAATGGAAATGTTCAAACTTGGCCTGAATTCTTTACGTTGTCACAAGATTTCTAAGGAACCTTTGACATTATAGAAAATCAAGTATAACTATTTCCCTTTTGTAGTCAACTTCAATAAAGACAGAGGAACACAGATACAGATACAGCAGATACAGCAGGTCAGAATTAACTGGGAGGGTCAGGATGGAGTTAAATACTAGAAACGCAAAACTTTGGGCAAGGAATACCCCAACAATAGAAAACAAAAATAGTTTTTATGTTGTTGAACGGCAAAAAACACAGTTTAACTGACTTGGTTATAAGAGATTTTTTGAGAAAACCATGTGAAATAATTAATTATAGTGCTCGGATTTAGTAAAAACCCTCAATGGAACATTTAAAGGAATAGTACATCCAAAACATGATTAGCCTTCATTTTCTACTCACCCCCATGCTGAACAACACTCTGGAGTACTTTTTTGATATCTCAAATGCATCTGGAGATCTGGGAGGCTTCTTGCTGTCTGCTGACATTCAAATAATGGAGGTCTATGGTGTCCGAGACAGAAAGGTCCATAAAAGTCCACAAAAAAACGTGTCAATATTCCTCCATACTGCTCGTCCAATGTATTCCAAGTGTCCTGAGTGGGTAGCATCCAGAATTTACTCGAAACGAAGTCATTTAGAATGTTTTTAGAGCATAAACAGTAGTGTATAGGATTTCCTGAAAGTGCGCACATGCGCGTTCACGACGCTACGGAAGCCGGCAGACCAAACCAGATGAAAGTGCGCATTCAGCGTCTGCTCTGCCAATAATGCAAGCGTAGAAGAAGAAATGTGCCGTTTACCTGTGCAAAGAAAGAAACAACGAAAGAAAAATGTCTGAGGACTTCAGTGTTGAGGAAGAGCATGAGTTCTTTGCCGAGCTGAATGCGCTGGTTTGGTCTGCCGGCTTCCGTAGCATCGTGATCGCGCATGTGCGTGCTTTCAGGAAATCCTATACACTACTGTTTATGCTCTAAAAACATTCTAAATGACTTCGTTTCGAGTAAATTCTGGATGCTACCCACTCAGGACACTTGGAATACATTGGACGAGCAGTATGGAGGAATATTGACACGTTTTTGTGGACTTTTATGGACCTTTCTGTCTCGGGCACAATAGACCTCCATTATTTGAATGTCAGCAGACAGCAAGAAGCCTCCCAGATCTCCAGATGCATTTGAGATATCAAAAAAGTACTCCAGAGTGTTGTTCAGCATGGGGGTGAGTAGAAAATGAAGGCTAATCATGTTTTGGATGTACTATTCCTTTAATCCTTAGTTTTCTTTATCCAACTTGCAAAGCAAGAAAAACTCTTCTTTTTGTAACTTCGAATCCTCCACCAGGTCCTTACTGTGAATTCTTAGACAAATTTTCTGAATTTCTATCTGATTTGGTGTTGAATACTGACAGGGTCATCATAGTGGGGGATTTTAACATCCATTCTGACATTGAAGGCGATAGCTTAAGAGCAGCCTTTAATGCTATCTTAGACACTAATGGCTTTGTTCAAAATGTGAATATTCCCACACATTCTCATCTTCATACTTTAGACCTTGTGCTGACATATGGCATAGAATGTGAAGAAATAACGTGCTGCAGAGAGCAAAAGTTTAGTTTATTCCCCTTCACAGGTTGATGATTTTGTTGATGGGGTTGCTAGTTCTCTGCATACTGCCTTAGATAACGCAGCCCCATTGAAAAGGAAAAAAAAAACTTAAGAAGATTAGAAACCACCATAGAAAAATGAAAAATGATTTTGGGTTTCCTCAGATTGCTTTACATTTAAATCTGTCAAGTGGTATGTTATTTACACAAAGTCAGAGGGTTTCAGAAATAACATTCTTATATGTTTTTTTATCCTATTTACCCATAAAGAGCAGTAAAAGCGAGAGCCAAAGCCCTAATATATTATTAATTTAAATCTGGCATGGGCTCTTGAAACATTTTGACTGAAACTGGACTCTCTAGTCCAGTCTGGTACCCTGCAACTTAACCAAAGTCCAGATCGCGGGTTCTTTTTTCCATCTGACAACCATCTGTTTTTTAACTGTGAAAAAAGATCAGAGCAGGCTCAACATGGTTTTATTCAAATTCAGGGTCATGCAGATCCTTTTCCTCTGCATATTTCTGAGGATTTTATTATTTGAATCCAACCCATGGGGTGCTCTGTGTCTACATATAGCATCCTGAATGTTACCTGTGTGGTTATTTGCATGCTGTTAGGCTATGTACGGGTCTTTTGTTTCAACTGATAGCCATCCACAGAAGCTGCATCAGTTTGAAACAAAAAGAACAGGAAACAAGTTGAGATCTGGTCGCCTGGTTATTTGCTTAAATTTGGAAGCTTTGGTTCAAATGTTCACAGCTATCTCTGAGCAAGTTTTAAACCAGAACAAGAGTCTTTGCATTCTTAGGTAAAGATAACGGAGACTTCAGATAATTGGAGTAAAGGTTGGAGCTGTATCTAGAGCTCTGTGTATAAAACATTAAGTGAAAACAGCAAAAACACAAAAATATGAGCTGACTGCACTACACAGAGCAGAAATATACAGTACTGACTGACCTTTTGAAAGTGTTTTAGAGAGAGAAAAAAGATTTAGATCTAGAGACTGTGAATGATCTCACTCTCTAACAATGTGAGCTGGTGCTTCCTCTTTGGCAGCCAAGCCTTCTCTGAAATAACGGTTTAATGCTTCCTTTCATCAGGAAGTATCTGATGAAGAATCAAGGCTGCAGCTGAGGATCCATGACGCACATCTCCTGTTCTTTTAACTTGATTATAATGTTTTAATTCAAGGCACACATTTTATATAAACACATATTATAAGTTAAGACAAATGGAAATAAACTTAGTTTTGAACAGGTTTCATTTACTCATAAAACTCCTACTAAGAGTTGGTGTCAGTTCTCTAGTTTGCTTATATCAGCCAATCTATAGTTTACATGGTAAATAAGCATAAACCAAGTTGTAAAGTGTTGAAACAGGTGCAAAAGAAAAACAAAGTAAAATCCCATTAAATGTAACCGTTTCTTTAAGCCTTCAGAGAGGTGTTTACTTACCTAAATTGTCCCCATCATGTCTCCATCCTGCTGCTCTGTGATGCAGGGTTAAAGCTCACTGTGTGGCTCCTCTCTGCATCCCATCAACTCCTCAGGCAGAAGCTCTCCTCCTGTCGCTCAGCAGATCTGAGGGTGTGTCTCCTCCAAATGTTATGTGGGAACACAGCCTCCTTTCTGAGTGGGATTGTGTGCAGAGGTGGATTATTTATCTGGGAGGGAGCTATGATAAGGTTTTATCCGCACTCAGTGTTCCCTAAAGAGATTTATGTTGCTGTTTAACTTTCTATGTTCGATTGGTTTGATTTTGTTAAATCTCAGGGCAAAGTTTACGCAGTCAACAAGTGGTTTGGCGGTGACAAAGCGCCGCCTGGTGGCTGAAGTTGCACTTGGAAATATTTGGCTTCATTTTTACCCTGCAGCAAGAAGCTGATGGGATGTGAATCCCAGCACGCAGGATTATGTGATGAGTTTGCCTGTTCTCCCGGTGAATGCATGGGTTCTCTCTGGGTGCTCTGGTTTAAATTAGTGTCTTTATTCGGTTATTATGCAGTAAGATATTTTGCCCCAAATATAACAGTGTATCACATTTATTTGGGATTTTTGTCTTTGATTTATTATTATTTGTATTTAAATTGACAAGATATATTTTAAGACAGATGATGGTCCATGCTGTTGTATCTATCAGTCAATATCAGGGTTGGGAGCATTACTTAAAAAAGTATCAAGTTAAAGTTACTTCTCAATAAAAGTAAATCACATCTTGGTAAATGGAAAATGGACTGTACTTATAGAAAGCTTTTTCAAGTCAGGAGACTTAACCAAACGCTTTACACCACATTCAATCATTCACCCATTCACACACACACTGATGGTAGAGAGCTACACTGTAGCCACAGCTGCACTGGGGCTCACTGACAGAAGTGGGGCTGCCGTACGCTGGCGCCACCAGGGCCTCTGACCTTTAGAGGTAGGCAATACAGGTGAAGTGACTTGCCCAAGGATACAACAACAATGAAAGTATGATCCAACAAACCTCTGGTTGCTAGACGAACTCCTGCCACTGTTGCCAACGTTATTATTTATAGCAAAATCAAAGTAGCAAGTTACTAGTCAAGGTAAAAATGCAGTTACATTTTATGAACTAAAATATCAAAGAATTTAATCTTCTTGCCATTGGAACTTATACAGAAAAACTGTGTATTAGAGGCAAGACAGACAGTGTGAATGCAATTATTTAAAATTGGCGGAGCTGAGAAGCAGCGGCTAGGGCTTCTGAGGTAGGAAACTCTGTTTTGCAAGTTCAGTCCTTGCCCAGACTGCCAAGAAGATGCAGCAGACACTGCCAAAGTATCCCAGATGCTGCAGAACTGGAGAACAAGCAGGAGTCCGAAGCCAGGTCAGGCAAACAGAAGAGGAACAGGCAGGCTCAGAGGGTCAGGAATCCAAAGACAGTTCAGACAAACCATTCATATGGGAACAGGCAGGCTCAGAGGGTCAGGGGTCCGAAGCCAGGTCAGGCAAACAGAAGAGGAACAGGCAGGCTCAGAGGGTCAGGAATCCAAAGACAGTTCAGACAAACCATTCATATGGGAACAGGCAGGCTCAGAGGGTCAGGGGTCCGAAGCCAGGTCAGGCAAACAGAAGAGGAACAGGCAGGCTCAGAGGGTCAGGAGTCAGAAGCCAGGTCAGGCAAACAGATTTGATCACGATCAGGCAGGGTCAGAGGTTCAGAAATCCAAAGACAGTTCAGATAAACGTCCATACCGGAACTGGCAGGCTCAGTAGTTGAGAGGCAGAACAGGTCAGATCAGGATCAAGTACTCTAAAAACATTCTCACCACCGGCTAGAGAGAATAAGAATGATCTTGCTCGATGACTGGATGCAAGCAGCTTAAATAAAGGCAGGGGAGGGTGGATCAGATAAGCAGTGTTGAGAAAGTGGGCAGAGTTTAGTTGGTGATTGAAATGAGTAATTAAGCCAGTCATCAGTGCCAAGATCATGACAAGAGGTTAAATTATGTATTATAAAATGTTCATCAATCTTCACCACTTTGGTGCGTGTGTGGTTGGAAGAGTTGGATGCAATAAATTATGTGGAATTAATTATGTTTCTTGTGTAGAACAAAAGAAAACAAATGAGATGTTTGAGAACTTTAAATATTTGCATGTTGACAGCCTTTAACTTGCCATAAAAAAGGTATGAGGCTGTAAAATAATGTATTATCTGCAACAGCATTAAATAATTCCAAAAAAATTAACAACAAAGCAAACTGTTTTATCCAAGAATTTCCATGTGATATAAACAGTAAACCATGCAGGTGAATTCATTGTTACACTGAGAAAGTAAAGAACATTTATGGAAAAAGTCAGCAGTAATCAGTTGGTGTTGAGAAGATGAGAGGAGCTTCTTCAGATTAAAGCTGTTTCTAACTATAATGAAAAAAACTCAGGAAAATTTAGCATTTGACTTCAGTGAGAGCTCCTTTATTTTTTTTTAGGATTTTTTTGTTGAGTCAGTGGCTCTGACTCATTGTCTCCCAGTTTAAGGCATGCTGAATATTTTACATGTATTATGTAACACATACCACTAAACTGTTAAATATATTTTTTTTTATCAAGGTGTTGCGCTCTTACTGAGTGGTAATCTGTCCATGGTTTACCCCGCTCTGCAAAGCATGTTCAGACAATAAATAGATTTAGGTCTTTTCTTTGGCTGATCTGTTTTAACAAATAAAAATGCTTTAATCTAAGTCCTTTCATTGTTACCCTGCCTGCATATTTAGAGCTGTCCTGCAATAAAGTCCTCCACAACAGTCCAGTCTTGCTTTCTTTCAAGCTGTCGCTTCCCTGCCCTTTCCAGCTTTACAGTGCTGATTGTCTGCTAAGGGTGATTCATTTTTGTCTCTCTAGAATACCAGGTTTATGGAAAACACAATTACCACTTATTCTGTCAGCACACCATCTCATGTGCTATAAAAACATGGTAAAAAGTCCTTTCTCTGAAGTTCTGTGCGTACAGAGAAAACCAAGAATGTAACGGAATATTGTGATCAAAAACCTGAAATTACTGTTAAGTAACATCTAAGCTGGAAACACAAGTAGTAAGATACAAGGGTAGACAAGAGGCTCCATGGTAAACAGCAACAAAAGACCATTCATTTTGACTGGATGATCTGGTTGTGAATTGGCGCTACAGTATATAAATAAACTGAATTGAATTGGTTGGAGTCCACTTCTCCTCTGTGCTGCTTTTTTTTCTACATTGTTAAAGGGATTAGCCAGAATATAGAGCCTTGGGGCACACCTTTTGCTGCATCAAAATAACAGGTGGGAGATGAACACTTTAGTGTTAAGCAGAAGGATCATTTGAACATTTTTGTAAATCTAACTAAAGTAACATTTATATTGGATGTTTTCCACCTATGCATGAAGCTGTTGCAGAACAGGAGAGCTCCTTCAGTGACAGACTGCTGCACCCTAAATGCAACATGGAGCGTTATCACAGACCCTTCTTCCCAGCAGCTGTAAGACTATAACCATCACTGTTCCTAACAGCTTTAATAAATTGTTACATTCATGCTGATTTTGCACAGTTTCTACCATAGTCAGTTAAATAACATGCTGCTGTCATTTTGCACATCTCTAATGTTACCTAAAAAAATGTCCATAGCTGTATATTGGTTATTTATTCTGCAGGTGCCCAATTTTATATTGTTAAAACACTTTACAGTATAGTTTTCTATTATTTATCATTTAACTCGTCACTATTAAATCTTATAAAATGGGTTAAGGTCATATATATATATATATATATATTGAACCACAGGCAGCAGTTTCAACTAATGGACTCAAGTCTGAATACTTTAATACTCACAGGGGGTGATGCAGGGCTGCCCTTTATCACCTCTCTTATTGGTTTCGGCTGTAGAACCACTTGCAGAACCCTTTAGGACGATACCTGGTTTAGAGACTGGACAGTTGTGTCACAAAATAACTTTATACATGGATGATGTTCTAATCCTTCTAACTGATCCTGAGACATCTATACCAGGCCTTCTCGATTTAATTGACTGATTTAGTCCTTTCTCTGGTTATAAGATTCACCTGACTAAATCTGAGGCGATGCCACTCGACACCCTCTCAACGATACCATCTACTACACCTCCCTTTCTGTTTAAATGGTCTCCCAATGGGTTTGTGTACTTAAGAATCTTCATAACCCCATCCTTTGATCAATTATATGAAGCTAACTTTCCCCTATTATTCTGTACGATTAAACAGGACCTAGAGCGATGGACGCCGCTTCCCATTTCCTGCCTGGGACACATTGCTGTGGTCAAAATGAATGTGCTGCCTAGGTTATTGTATCCTATCCAAATGATTGCTGTGCTGTTTTCTAAAAGGGTGCTGAAGGATTTAGATGGTTGACTTAGCACTTCCATCTGGAGCAAGCACAGACCCAGGCATAAGATGGGTGTGTTACATCTACCAAGGACAAGTGGCCTAGATTTACCCAGACCGGACCTCTCCTCCACACTATTAAGCGGCTATGTGCATCATAAGACTGATTTACCACCTCATGTAACATGTAATGGTCCAGAGTGTAGATTCTATACTTTAAATCTAATACAAAAATATATGAAACAAGTGTAAGGAATATGAAACATTTTGCAAGGCACTTGAATAGTTATGTGTCAAATAAGAACACAAGGGTGACATTTATGCCTAAATGTGATTACTGTATCTACGTATGCTTCACATACTGTAGGGGTGCTCAAATTAAAAATGAAACTTAAACTTTATACCAAAGATAAAATAAAAATCTAAGGATCAGATGAGGAAATCAATGGCCATATATGGCTGAAAACACATAAGCTAGTCTGGTGTGTGTATAAACAACCCCAAAAATATTTCACACAACTTACATTAGTTTTGACTAAATCATAAAACCATGCATTTTGAAAAATAACGATATGATTTTGACAAAATCATAAAAACCAACAAATACAGTTTTATTTGGATGTAAAAGGCAGAGGCTTTGTTTATACAGTCTATACAATGATCAGTGATAATGAGACATTTCTGATCTGCTACAAAATCAGTGTAAACATTTCCTGGTTGGTCAGTTTTATACGGTGTTCATGAGAAGTTATTGCAAACAGCTCCCAACTTTCTCTCACTGTATATAAAAACACTGTACAACAGATATGTTAAAGACATCCCACTAAAGCAAAGAGCAGACATATATTTTTTTAATATAAAGCTTTTTTATAGTAAGGTTGTTTGGCTCTTTTTCATTCATTTTTTTTTTTTTTACTTTAGTTTAAAGAGCTTTTCAGTACATTCACTTAGACACTAGGGGGCGGCAATAACTCACTTTTGTGCAGCTTCAGGTCTGGAAACAAGTGAGTTAACTTTTTAAAGTTTTAAAACTTGAAAGCTAACAGTAAAATCAGGACATCAGAAAGGCCAAAAAATTTCACACACGCATCTCTATCCATCCAATCATACAGGCACTGGAAGAATATGCAGAAAATAATAGTAAAAGATAACAGATTCCAAACAAAAAGTCCATTATTTTACAGACTCATTCTCTTTTTAAATTTTTTGTGCAAGATCTTTAACTTTGGGTCTCATCAGCTTCTCCTCAAAATGTTTAAAAAACATGCTGTTTGGTTTGGCTTCAAATTGGTGATATTTCTCTGCTTCTCTTGACATATGAAGACACTGGAATTAGCTCTATTTCTTTTGTTTGGGGCTCAGAATGTCAATTCTGGAATACATTATCCTACATTCAACACAGTCTTAACATTATAGTGTGCAATCTATGATATCTTTATTCAAAATGTTAGTTGATGATTCAATTCCTGTCAGCTGGGTTTACTTAGGTAGAAAACCTTCAACCAACCTGTCTAGAATGATTGAATTTTCTCTTTAAAGTGTCTTACGATGACATGTGTTGTGAATCGGTGCTAAATAAATAAAACGGCATTGAATAGAAACAGAATTTTGTATGAAAAAAATCCCCAAAGTTGGAATAACAATTATTTGGCATCAAATTTAGACCAAGTTTAAGAACCAGGGATCTGGTTGAAAAGAACTGACACGGCCCAACTAAATGTTTGTATAAGTTGCTGTAGTCTCTGATTTTTGTTTTTGAGTTTAAAACCAAAGCAAATAATAGCAATGAGATTTTTTTTTAGCATGCTTATTCAGACTTTCTATCAAATTCATCCTTTACAGAGTTTTCAAAACAGTGTAGTTACCGTGAGGTCCTGAATTACTGCTAAAGTTGCTTGGAAAAATGACTAAGTCATGGATGTCTATACCAATAAAATGTGGATCATCAAAGGTTTAAATAAAAAATAAAGGCCCATAGTTCTAAAAAAGCTTTTGCCTCATCAGTAGGATGTACTTTGTGTTGATCTTCATAATTTACGGTTTCATTTAAATAAATCTGTAATGCAACAAAGTGTGGAATAAGTGAAGGGGAGTGAATACTCTCCAGTGACACTGTAGGCAGTTTATATCCCATAGTTATATTTGGTTCAACTTGTTTGAACAGCTTTCAATCTAATAACACATATTTAGATCTCTAAATATGTATATATCATTGTTTTATGATAGCTGGGAAGAATTACATATATTAACTACAACAATTTAAATCACATTTGTTGTCAAACTAGGAAATAAATAAAATTATTAGGGAATGCTAAAATAATATCTTGTTTAAAAAGGCATTTTTCATGTTTTGCTGATCAATCTGTAAAGATTACTAGAATATGTATTTTGCATGATTAGTGATGCTTTTTGTTCTCTTAAAATGAAGCTCCTGTTAATGTTTAACTGTCCTTCTCATTCACATAATGGGAAAAGTTCTTCCTAGGAGCCTTAAATAGTTACTGACTTTTGTTAAAATCTGTTGACAATTATTTATGGACTCCAGCTGCAGGAAATCTGAGTTATACAGCAGTTTGCTGTGTTGTGTAAGCAGGAACATTCACAATTGCTGAATTTGGCATTGCTGAGGGAGGGAGAGATGAATATGGAGCAAGTACTGTAGCTCATTTCATCCAGATAACAAATGCTTCGGTCATCTCTGAATACAAAGTTCGCCGCTATTTACATCTGTATATTGTTACCAGATGTTCTGTGTTGGTCAATCATGCATGCCAGTTTGCTTGAAAGTTTCCTTCTCTCCGGTTATTTTTGTACAAGGAGAGAAAAAAACAACAACCTCTCTATAAATTCTTCAAGGAAGTGCAGCAGATATTACCTATCGTTAATGATCCTTTATTATAGAGAGCATTTCATTTGGACTTTACAGTTTTTCATCATGAATCCAAGTAGATAGAGTAGATCTGACTGAGGCAGCGGTCCACACCTCCACACTGAAAGAGGAAGCTGTCCTCTGGGCACGGAGATGAGGAGTAAAGGTCCTCGACTTGGGCTTGCATGTCCTGCAGCAAGTCAAACCCTAACAAAAGGAGAGCAGGAGGTTTTGCTTGTATCTTAAGTAATGCTTAGCAAAAGCAGTAACGTTCTCTGACGATGGTCAGAGGTATTACCTCCAGGGTGAGAGGCGGATGGGTTTGGGAAGAAGCTGGCAGGTTCAAAGCCTCTGTTGCTGGCTGGAGGAACTACCTTTCCTTCTTGATAGGTACATTCTTAAAGAAAGAAAGAACAGCAAACAAGTTAAGTTAAAGCATGTTTTTTGTTACCTTCAAGTACTGTGAGTAAGCTGTCATCACCTGGCTGTTGCTGTAGAAACACTGGCTGCTGTTGGTTGTAGGTTTTCTGGAAACCTTGCAGCTGAATGTTGCATTTCTCTGAGGAAGAACTCACTGGCTGAAGGTCTGCAGACTCGAACATGGGTGTTGATCTGTGCCTAATGAAAATAAACATCTTGCATTATTATAAAATTTTAACTAAAATATCTATTTTTTCATCCAACAATTGTTTTCTGGTGTTGAAGGTGAAAAAGGCTCAGAAGGAAAACAGACATTGCTCTCTTTACTCCCACTCCACAAGTCACTGCAAATTATTGATTAATTGATTTAATTTATTGATCCAACAGTGGAGAACAGCTCATATAGTCAAAGGAGAAGAAGAAGGTGCTAAGGGATGAAACAGGTGCATGGGATATATACAGTGTTTCCACATATGACAAATTTTTACAGGGTTATCGCACAGGGTGCTTACATGGGTATTTATATAGATGGATATTTATATATATATAAATATAAATATAAATATAAATATATATATATATATATATATATATATATATATATATATATATATATATATATATATATATATATATATATATATATATATATATATATATATATATATATATATATATATATATATATATATATATATATATATATATATATATGCCCTGGGGGGCATTGTCCAAGTCTCATGACAATAATTAGGCGGTCGGAAGGTAGAGCAAATAGAATCTCCTCTTGGCTCACTTCAACAGATCCACCAATCTGATCTGCCAGTCCATCCTACAACTACTATTACTACTATTTCTCTTCTTCCTAAGGCATAGACTGACCCTCAGCCCACAGAAAGTAGTAGCTAGGGATCTTTGCATTTTGGTTCTTTTGGCTTCATAAGGTCATGATCTGATAAGATCTGGGTTTAAAATCTCTGCAATGCCAATGTGCAAAATGCAATGACTTCCTGTGCTGACCTCTAAAGGCCAATAAAGCAATACACCAACCGTTAAACATCTAACAGGGAACTGTTCAACCTGCCGCTAGTTAATAAGCTACGGAGACATGGATGTTCACCTAAACTGACAGGGTGGGCAAGGAAAGTCTCAATCAGAGAAGCAACCAAGCCCTTGGAAAAAGCTCTTGAGGAGCTGTAGAGGTCGATAGCTCAGGTGGGAGAGGCTGTCAATAAGAGCTGCTGTGTCCCAGAGAGGTATAAAGAAAAACATTGAAACCATAGGAACTGCTGGTGTTTTCCATTAGCCGTGTATAAACATGACTAAAAATGGGGAAAGGTTCCCTGTTTATGTGAAACTAAACTGTTTTGCCAACATCCAACACATTCTGTGTGGATCAAAATTGCCCATTACTCTAAACAAACCATTCCTGCAGTTAAACATGCCGAGGACCTCTCTTATCTTCAGACGTATAGCGGTTTTGTGAGTTGCCTATTAGTCTTAGCTTGAAAATGACTTATTTGTGTAGATAATCATTGTTACATATTTTCACTCGAGGTTGGATTCAAATGTAAACTAACAATCCTGAATAATCTCACCAGAAAACCCAACAAGGCGTCAGAATATAGAAGCCTTAACTTCATCCACCACTAATTTAAACTTTTAAGTAAGTTTACAGTGTACACAAAGACAGGTAATGTTTTGAATTTGGGTCAAGCTGCATTCACTTTCTCACATTTCTAGGTTGGTTTGGAAAGTTTCCTTCCTTCTATATCAATTGAAAATGGTATTTAGCATTTTTGGGTATTTGGAATTTAAAACATACAGTTTAATTAATTTTTTTTTATATATATATATTTAGCAAAAAGCAAAACCAAAGGGAACAAGTGGTTAACTTTTCTCTTCAAATCCCAACATATCGATAAGTGGATCATTTAATCCTATTAAAATAGGGTTAAACCAACCTGCCGTTTTATGATGTAGAGGACCATTTATCATGTTATTCTGAAAAAAAAAGTATTTGCTCCAAACAACATGGGATGTTAAAATTGTCTTCCCCCGCATAGAGACTAATGTAGACACCCCCTGATGATTTGTGCAGAGCTGTATCCGTTGCTGCGGAGCAGGAATGTGCTGACTGTGCATAAACACTCTGACTCAACATGGAAACAAATGAGTCGGTGCAGCCAGTTCTACAAGAAGGAAGAAGGCAGCTGGATATCTCAAAGGAGATATGCAGCGGACACCCCATATAGTATTTAACCCCCTACCCTTCTTCAAAGAACTCTCTATCTCTCCGTCTCTCTCTCTCTGTACGTTTTATGAATCCTGGGAGCTCTCCTGGATGATGCACTGCTGGATATTCATCTCTTGGGACCAGAGTGCCGCTGGTTTCCTCTGGGAGGGTTTTAGTGGGCTTCATAAACAAGCTGGGCTTTGTCAAACACACAAATGGCTTCTAGCCCATAAGCAGTCTATATTTGCATCTGACCAGCTGTGAAAAAAAAGAAAATGTTTGGAGCTTTCCTTTCATATCTTCCATTTATCATCACAAGAGCACTTTATTATGGATTTCCCACGTCAAATGCCATTACATTTAATTTTACGGCCTCTGCTTTCAGCAGAGAAACCCAATAAAAGCCTAAATTAATCAGAAGGACTTTCTGAAACCCAAACTGATATAAATCACAGATGGCTGCGGTTTCTTGAGGTAATAAAGACCAGGCTTTGTATATCATTATGTAAACAAAGTAGGCTTTGATATAGTGAAACTGTTAAATGTGCTGCAATGACTGTAAGCCCCAAAAATCCAACACGTCTCTGAAATTCCCCTCAGCGGCCCCTGAAACTTCATCGCTGACCTTGGCTATAAAAGTCTGCTCCACAGCTTACATTCCTGTAACGCTGCAGCAACATAGCTGAGATGTTTCAGCCAAGCTGGGCTGATATGTCTCTTTAATGCCGCTGTATCCCAACTGTTCCTCTGCATAAGCTTAGCATGGTATGAGCCGTGTGTGAGACTGTCAGCAGGACCTCAGGAAAACGGGTCCTCTGATCATTTATTACCAGCTAACCACCCTCTTACTGCATAGTTTTCTTTCTTTAACCAGAGCCAGCTGTAGTACATGCTGTATATCTAGAGGATAAGTGGGTAACACTTTGTTTTTAGTGGCTCATATTGACTTTGTTATAACATTTGAAAGGTAACATTTTAAAACAAAATATGGGCCAAGAATGCTGCCTACTTTGATCATTTTCAAAGAATTTAAACTCTAAAACAGCCTTACAGTGTTACCTTCATGATAGGAAACTCCTTACTTCTTGGCAAGTTGATAAAATATACATTATCTATTGTTTCTAAGAGTATAGATCTATTACATTGTGGTCATACTTTAATGTTTTCCCATCATAAACAGATTTCAAGCCTGGCTTGCCTTCCTTAGGTTTAGGGTTAATCAATAAAAAAGACAGGTAGAACTGGGTTTCAAGGTGAAAACTGCTAATCAAAAGGAGTTCTCTCACATTTGCTAAAACCTAAAATCTTTATCATCTTCAAAACTTTCGGGAAAATATTTAGTTCCAACAGGACAATAGTGGAACATGTTGGAAGGTACACTATATTGCCAAAAGTATTTGCTCACCCATCCAAATTATTGGAATCAGGTGTTCCAATCACTTCCATGGCCACAGGTGTATAAATTCAAGCACCTAGGCATGCAGACTGTTTTTACAAACATTTGTGAAAGAATGGGTCGCTCTCAGGAGCTCAGTGAATTCCAGCGTGGAACTGTGATAGGATGCCACCTGTGCAACAAATCCAGTCGTGAAATTTCCTCGCTCCTAAATATTCCACAGTCAACTGTCAGCTGTATTATAAGAAAATGGAAGTGTTTGGGAACGACAGCAACTCAGCCACGAAGTGGTAGGCCACGTAAACTGACGGAGCGGGGTCAGCGGATGCTGACGCGCATAGTGCGAAGAGGTCGCCAACTTTCTGCAGAGTCAATCACTACAGACCTCCAAACTTCATGTGGCCTTCAGATTAGCTCAAGAACAGTGCGCAGAGAGCTTCATGGAATGGGTTTCCATGGTCGAGCAGCTGCATCCAAGCCATACATCACCAAGTGCAATGCAAAGCGTCGGATGCGGTGGTGTAAAGCACGCCGCCACTGGACTCTAGAGCAGTGGAGACGCGTTCTCTGGAGTGACGAATCGCGCTTCTCCATCTGGCAATCTGATGGACGGGTCTGGGTTTGGCGGTTGCCAGGAGAACGGTACTTGTCTGACTGCATTGTGCCAAGTGTAAAGTTTGGTGGAGGGGGGATTATGGTGTGAGGTTGTTTTTCAGGAGCTGGGCTTGGCCCCTTAGTTCCAGTGAAAGGAACTCTGAATGCTTCAGCATACCAAGACATTTTGGACAATTCCATGCTCCCAACTTTGTGGGAACAGTTTGGAGCTGGCCCCTTCCTCTTCCAACAGGACTGTGCACCAGTGCACAAAGCAAGGTCCATAAAGACATGGATGACAGAGTCTGGTGTGGATGAACTTGACTGGCCTGCACAGAGTCCTGACCTCAACCCGATAGAACACCTTTGGGATGAATTAGAGCGGAGACTGAGAGCCAGGCCTTCTCGTCCAACATCAGTGTGCGACCTCACAAATGCGCTTCTGGAAGAATGGTCAAAAATTCCCATAAACACACTCCTAAACCTTGTGGACAGCCTTCCCAGAAGAGTTGAAGCTGTTCTAGCTGCAAAGGGTGGACCGACGTCATATTGAACCCTATGGATTAGGAACGGGATGTCACTTAAGCTCATATGTGAGTCAAGGCAGGTGAGCAAATACTTTTGGCAATATAGTGTATGTGTCAGATTAAAGCTGATGACTCTGGGTCCCTGAGCAAGACCCTTAACCCCCGGGCGCCCCACGATGGCAGCCCACTTCTCCCCAAGGGGTTGGGTTAAAATGCAGAGGTAAATTTCTCCAATGTGAGATCTATAAAGTTAAATTGTTTTATCATTATTAAAACCAACCCAGCGTTTGAGGAAAAAAACACCTAATACTGACAATCAAGCATGGTGGCGGCAGTATGATGGTCTGAGACTACTGGATGACATGATGTGCCTGATACAACCATTAGCTCTTCTCTTCAGCAGGGAACCCTGAAGGAAACAAAAACGGGCATCATTCGGTGATGTTGAGCTCAAGAATACTTTGGCTTTTAAGCGGGAATATTATCAGAAACTAACCTGCAAAACAAACTAAAATAAATCTTATCAAACTACTTATTACACTCTTTTCATGCCATGGGCAAAATAAAATACTTTAAATAGTAATAAAAGCAAATCAAGATAAAGAAAAAGCCTTGACACAACCAAGTAAATAGAGATTTTGGAGGGACTTAGTCAAAGTCAGATTGAGAGTCAGCGATACGATTGGCTGTTTATATGGGCTGTTTAAAATGGCTGAATTAGCAAAGTCCCTAAAGTGAGCCAAAAATTGAAAAGTTATCATAGGCCTACCAGAAGACTGATTATTTTTATATTTAATCAATACTATTTTTCTGATCTGGAAAATGTTTTCTAATCTAAAACACTTGTTTTAAAATGAATAAAAAAAAAAAAAAACACATTTTCCAGGCGGTTAATACTTATTCAACACAAAACTGTGATCCTATCTGGCCTGGGAATGTCTTGGAGTTTCCATGGCAACTGAAGTGTGTCACTAGTGAGAGAGTTGTCCTGGTTTCCCACATACCTGTAACTTCTATTATGATTATAAGCTAAGTAGTCATGCTAAATATTTTGATAAAATTCCAAAGGTTGGCAGCATTCATTAAGAACCATCAATGAGGAGAAAGTACTAAGATGGAACTTAAACTTAATTTCTCCCTCTGGCCTGGTGAGTAAAGCTCATGTTCTAACTGTAAAGCCTTAAAGGTTCAAATTAGTTGTTCAAAATGTATTATTTTCAGTTCTATTCGGTGGTTTTTCTATGGTGCAAGTTCTGCTGTTAAATCATCTTTTGCTTTGTGCTTTAATTTATTAATGTAATGCGTTTAAAAGTTTGCAGTTTGTAGTTTTGCTTGCCTTGGAAGTGGTGCAACAAACGCTCACAAACATGTCAAAAAAGGTGGAGATTCAAAGTGAAAGAAGCATTACCATGAAAAGCCTAAGAAAGCTAATTTAGTGTTGTAGCTGAGTAAATAGAAAAACATGCACATGTGTCAAAGTCACAGCCTTGTGTCACTTTAAGTTTGGGCAAAGTAAACCTCATTACTTCTCTTTGCTTCTAGCTGCATAACAGTGTTTCTGTGTCAGGACCATCTTGGTCACTGCCTCCATCCGATCCTTTTTCCCCTCAACCACAAAAAACACAAACACTGAGCATCACAAATAGTCGCTGATGGACGCGGCTCGGTGCTGCCGCTGAATCCTGCGAGTATTAAAGGGGCTCCAAGTGGTTTGTTCCAGCCAACATAAACAGTCGCCTGAAGCAAAGATGATTTACCTTCACGTGTATAATGTATCGCTAAGTTATTTGGAGGGAAAACAAGTGCTTGTCTGGTGTTGACTTTGGCAGGTTTGTGAGTCCTACAGCCACTTTTAGGATTAACTGACATTCATCATCTGTAAAGACACATCATAAGACAGGCTGAGCTAAGCTTCATTGAATCTCTGGCTCTATTACTTCAAGAGGGAGATATGTTGCTTTTAAGGCATAATAAAGTCTGATATGGCTTCATTTCTAACATGTTTACCCTTAAAAAAATGTCCCAGATACCGTTGCTTTCTATACTGCCTCAAACATGCTGTTTCAATGTTGAGGGCTTTGAATATAACAAGAGTCTGTTTCCTTTTGAAGGGAATATTGTGCTTTAAAAAAAAAAACTAAATTAAAGACAGTGGCGTGGGGTGAAGGAGTTTGCCCATTAGAGGGTTGTCGGTTCAAGCTCCAGCTTTAAGCGTTGTTGTGTCCTTGGGCACATGGACACTTCACCTGCATTGCCTAATGTAACCCTGAAGCTTAAAGGCCCCGGTGGCGCCTGTGTACTGCAGCCTTGCTTCTGTCAGTGAAGTACCATGTAGTTTGCCGCCATCAGTGTGTGCGTGTGTGAATGACTGCATCTAGTGTAGAGCACTGTGGTCAAGTCTCCTGACTTGAAAAAGCTCTATATAAGTACAGGCCATTAACCATTTTAACAAAGACCTTGTTAAGTATTAATGTGATGTGGGTGAGTGCCCCCTTAAAACAAAATAGGATGAATTACTGCTCTGCATCTTCCAAGCTTAAAGGAGATGGGAGTAAGGAGATACGAAATACATAGAACTTTATCGATCTCACAATCAATTACCTGTCTGCCTTTAACCCATCCCCTTGGGGAGCAGTGGGCTGCCACTATGCAGCGCCCAGGGAGCAGTGTGGGGTTAAGGGTCTTGCTCAGGGACCCAGAGTGAAGGCTGTGGGGATTGAACTGGGTACTTTCCACCCTTTCTAAGCACAAGCACACTGCTCTAACCACTAGGCCAGCACTCCCCCACGGCCTCAGAACACAATGGTTCTATACTCACCCATCTCTCATGCTGCCCTTGCTCGTCATTGAAGACACCGGACTGTTAGCATCAAAGTTGCCCTCCAGTCCTCGGTAACAAGAGCGGCTATCTGCAGATGGTGGCATCAGCTCTGGATTCCTGCTGCTGTGAGATGAGCTGCTGGTTGTGTAAACACCTGAAACAGAGCCATAGATATTTTGAGGAAATGAATATAAAGAACCATTGTTCCTGAGGTTAGGATTTATTATACATTCATGAAACACCCTGGTTCAACAGTGATAACAAATAAGTCTATTGAATTTAACAGAAACAATATTGCTATTATCTTTTAAAAATGCTTATTGTTTTAACTGTATCTCCTTACCCCCTATTAAATTGTACAGAAAAAATAAAATAAACAGAATTACTGTTACTGTAACTGCTTACTCCATTATCTAACATATTATCTGTGTTAGCTTTTAACTGCCTTAGCTATACCAATATTTAGTGTTATCTTTTAACTATTCTTTTTTTTTTTTTTTTACAGCGTCCTGTCTGGCAATGTGGCAATTCCTAAAATAATGTGGCCCAACAGATTTTACTTTCGCAAGTGTAGCAGTACGGCAATTGCCATACTGCTCCACTTGTTTCATGCATATAAATTGCTTTATTATAATTATGCAGGGAGTTTTACAGTTTATATGGACACTGCAATCTAAATAGAGCAGAAAAACAGAAGAAGAAAAAGGAAAAAAGAAAAAGAGAAAAGATGAAAGAAAGAGGAGATAGACAGGAGACAATGACAAAACATTTTCAGTCTGCTTCATCACCTGCAACGAGATTAAAAAAGAACAGCAAACCGCAAGACATGGTACGAGATATACAATAAAGCATTACGTTGAAGCTAAAGTAATATTATTAAGTCTAACATGTACTCTGTGTTACCTGAAGATATGAATGTGGGGTTTCTGTATGGAAGTGAATCTCTGAGTACCTGGAGCCAAGCACATGTAATTGTAATATTTTAACTATTCTAACTGTAATGACTGATTTTGTGTGTTTTCAACAATGTTAATGCTGGAGCTGATCTACTTGTCAAAATTAAACCTACTGTTTCTAGTAAACGTGTGTAATATAATATAATAATAAATTATTATTATTATGTTGACCATAAATAGTATTTTTACAGTCCCAGTAGTTATCCACTACACTGCACCAGCTAGAAACAACATTTCTGTTAGTTTTGAACGATTCTAACAACTAACAGCTATTTCAATCTGAAAAACTCACATGGAAAGAAAAGAAAATTGGAAAAATTTTATTGATACAATTATTTTAATGTCGGCAGGAAACATTAGCACTGAATTTTGCTTTGATATGCGCTTCACTCAGGGACTTGGAAGTTCAGCTTGGATAACACAGCTAGCATGAAACTATCCACGATGAGCAAGCATGAAGTGACAGTGGAGAGGAAAAGCTCCCCCTTGGGAAGACAAATCTGGCAGAACCAGGTTCAACATGGCGGTCTCCTGCCGCACAGGTTTAAACTAGACAGGAAATGCAGCAATAGTCAAAGCTTCATCAGAGTTTCAGGCGATGATTTCAGGAGGGGATAGAGGTGGGCTGAAACGAGGTGATCTGAATCAAAGTCAGACACAGCGCAACCACTGCCTGCGCTTTTCGGTAGCAGACTGAGACTGGGATTTGGAGACCCTTTTAAGCTGAACAATGGATGCTGATTGGGCTTCATGGAGATGTGCTTCAAGCTGATTGGCTTGTAACAGAGGCGGATGAGGGTAAGTGATTGTTTCTTCAGTTGAACTTCCGCCTAAGCTCTATACTGCATAGCATTTTTTCTATTTGTGAGATTTAATATTAATTCACACTTTAATGCCGTCTGCTCAATTTCTACTTACTACTCTTTTTATGATTTTTATTTTTTCTAAATTTCAGAGGGAAGATCAGAACAGAAAATCTGTTCCACTTTCATGAGCTTTAAGCCTGAATGCAATTGCCAAGTAAGAGCTAAAATTGAACCATGGGCATTAGATTAAAACATCTTAGCCAGATATAGACTTAAAGTAATCTTTTAATTTCAGCAGCGCTCCGTCTGACTGGCAGCACTATTATCATTTCAGAGAGGCCTTGCCAGAGTTCTGTTTTGAATTTGGGATTCTATGGAGAGAGTTTTAGATTACGGTGATGGCAAAGAGAACCTTTAATGACTTAGAACTCAAAAAATGAGTAGAAACACGCAAACACCTGATTTAACTACGCATTTCTATTGCTGCAAAACCAATAAAGATTTTTTGACCAGTTATTTAGGGCTATAAATCATTTTGTTTTATGCATTTGTAAAAATGAAAATAAAATACTGTTCTTTTCTTTTATTATATTGTTAAAGAACCAAATTTCTTTTCCAATCTTTAATTAATGTCTTCTTTCGATCATCTACATCTGCAAGTGGTAAGAATTTTTTGGCTTAATGTTAAGCTTTTTTTCCAAATTCTACATAGAATGAACAAAAGCAACCACATGCATAAACTACACTGCAAAAACAACTATATTAAATAACTAACATAATAATTACTCAATTACTTTGAATAGAAACACATGATTTTCTTTTTTAATTTGTGCTAATTACCTGCTGGAGATGCATGGAAATAGTTAATTTTGAAAAGAGGAAACAGCCTTCAGGCCTCAGAGCCACCTGCACAGCCTCCATCAGCCCACTGTTAATACAAAAACATCTTTTTTCCATGTTTATACAAAGCCCTGACTCTACTGTATGTTATAAGCCGGGTCCTTAACACTTTGAGTTCGTGCAAAGTTTATGATAACGATATCTGTCCCCGTGAAGCAATCGAAAAACATACACAATTTATTCAGAAGACAGTTTCTGACTGTTTGACCATTTTTGATAAGGAGAGAGTTCTCATGGGATAGTTTTAGAATTAAACACTGACACGCTTGTTTCGCCCTGAATAAACATAGCTCGTACTATGCTGTTTGAGGCTTTTCCCTCAAAATCCTCTGAGTATAACTGCAAGTAGTCTGAAGTAATAGACATGGACAGCCCTCCTGGACACACTCTCCTTTCCTTTGCCAACTCAGCCTCAGTATCCCTGACAGCTTCTTGATCCACATTCAGCTATTGAAGGAGGGAAAAAATAGAGCTTGGCTTAAAAGTTAGTGTTGGAGAAGCTGAAAACAAGGGTAGAGTGAGGGGAGGGGGCAGCTCGCCCACATTTAGTGCCCGGTAATTGGACAAGGTAAACACGGGCACCATGAGCTATCGTAGAAGGAATGAGACGGGAGGGAGCGGAAAAGGAGCAAATGAGGCCATGGGAGAAAATAGAAGAGACAGCTTAAACAGCCCAGGTGTTTGGGTAGTTACAACATCTCTTTGTTGGAAGGTAAACCCAGACATTTGCTACTGTTTCGTACCTGTGAACTCATCCAAGGCTGGTAGAGGCGAGCTGTTTTCCTGGTGGGAACAGGCTGAGCTGTGGAGATGCTGCCTCGCCAAGCAATCGCTCAAAATGTCAGATTCCAATACGGCATGCACGTGAGCCTGCAAGTAACACAGAATACAGATGTTCGTCTAAAAATATGGAGCACTCCTTTTATGATGCATGAGAGGGAAAGGGAATAATTAGAAATCCTTCAAATTCTGTCATGTTAGAATGCAAAATATAAGAGCATATCATTGGAAACGCATATGGTAAATATCATTGTGAATTATTGTACTATGAAAGTAATAATATTCCTGGTTGATTTTACAGATAAAATCTAAAAGATATGTGAGTTTATATTTAGCCCTTGAGTGAAATTTTGTAGGAGCACTTTTGGCAGCAGGAAGTCTCTATCTTTACAGGTCGAGACCAAAATGTATCTTTGCAAAATATCTTAAGATCCCTCAGATAATTCTTAAATCTTACCACTCACGCCTAATTTGATTTAAGTTTTGGCAAACTCAAGTTCTTAAGAGCCGCTTTGCTTTTACTTAACTTTAACTTACAGATGTATCTCTGCTTAAATACATCTAAATCATATAATTAGATAAAAACAGAATGTTTTCATACTTCCCTGACCTTTTGTTTTGTTAGATTGTTTAGTTTACTTTGACGTTGCATGGTTCCTAAAAACTGTGTTTCCAGCTAGTTCATGGTGTTTTGTCACAGCTGACTGCTTGGGCTCAAAAGTTACTCAATATCTATGGAGGTTTGGTGGAAGAGCTGGATGTATAAGTCTGGGATAAGCTACATAAAGATGGAAAAGCTAGAGATGATTTTTACACTTTTCTTTTATTCTCATACACTCCAAGCACTTTTTCTCTCACGGCCCTCGACCATTTTCAAAGAACAGCATTGAGAAAGTTGAGCTTCAATGTCTGTCTGAGACCGTAGGTCACCACAGTTATATGCCTGAAAGTGTGCACACCCAGAAGAATATAGCTAATGGGGCGAGCATGTAGGACGGCCTTACGTAAACATATCACCAGAATGATTGACAGTTAGGAGGACCAGTTATTTAGGTGATCCACCCAGAAATAAAAGCTCATCCTCCATATCTTTAATTCCAGATGTTTTATAAAGTTTATGCACTTTTTAAAGAGCTGTAGTTTGGATTTTAATTATTAGTAAAGTTTCATAAACAATAACATTTGTCAAAAAATAAGCTCATTAATACAAGAAGTTGATTAGTGACATTAAATGGATTCATGACATTTAAGGTATTGCAATCATCCCAGGAATAGGGTAGCTTTCAACCATTGACTTTTTTTTTTTATAAATGTAGTGAAAAATGTGTCCAAGATAATCAAATTCAAACTGAATTCTAATCAAGTTTTCTTCAAGGATTGTTATGTATTTAGATCCATCCATCTTTCAAGCTTCAGAGGGTTAAAGGAGACGAGATAAAGATAAAAGTGTATATATGTGTTGAAATATCGATAAATGTAACATCAAATGATAAAATGTAAAATTAAAAAAATTAAAAGTTGTCTCAGCAGCCAATCAAATGTTAGGGTTTCTACAGAAGTGGCCTTAGTCCCGCCCACTGACTTTGATTCTTGAACTTTATACAGTTTATATAGTTTTATGAAGAGTTTGCTGGGCAGAAGAACTGAAAGAAAGAAATAACTACAGAGTGAAATAGTTAAGCGTATCATGTAAATAATCTTTTAACTAACTAATAACTTAAAAATATATATGATAACAATAATGTATTATTTAATGTAATAAATTTGAAGGTATATTTAATGAAACATTTAGATTTTTTTATTTGTATTTCACAATTTAATGCAACATTTAATAGTTTACCGATGTATCAAATTACTTAATGCATTATATATACTTTACATGTACATCACATATATACTTCATTTTGCATTTATTAAGTTACATTTATTCATCGCATTTTATTTATTTATTTGATGAGATTTTATTTATTTGATGAGATACTTAATCATTAAAATTTCCCTCTATCAACTCAATGCAAATCAACTCTGACCAGCATTTAACCTAAAAAAATGTTTTCAAGATAATTGACCTGCAGCCATTCCATAATCAATAGATTTCTTTTCCCTAGGTTGTAGATCTCTGCAGCTCCTCCAGAGCTACCAGTACTTCTAGGCTCTTTCTCTTATTAATGTTCTCCTTACCTGGGCTCTTTGTTCAGGTGAACAGCCATGCCTTGGTCAAGTAGGTTTGAAGCTGTACTTCTCTTTTTTTTATGGTGAGACTGCAAAATGCCCTGGATGTTTAAAGCTTTAATAATAGTTTAAGAACCTAACACTGCTTTAAATTTCCCCCAAACCTTCTCCCTGACCTGCCTGCTACGTTCCTTGTTCTTCAAGGTACTGTTTGTTTTCTACAGCTTCTTTTCTATTTACATAGCAGATGGATTTGTGCTAAAAGATTTATACAGATTTATAAAGATTTATACAGATGACTGGTTGCACTATTTTATTTTGAAGTATCTGAATAAGAAAGCATGAAAAAAGTAAAAAATGTTTTCCTTTATTTCTGAGAAAGTTTGAGAATGTGCCACACAAAGGCCTAATGGAATGCATTCAAGTTTGTTCATGTACTTTTTAAAAACAGATATGTGTATGAAGTATAAATGCTTCAGTAAAACATTGTATATACTGTAAATGCTGCAGCTTCGCTTTTGTTCTAATTATGTCTTCAGGCCGTGGAGTTCCCATGCAGCTCCAGTTTAAAAGCACTGACTTTGATTACATACACTAGATCAATAGAAAGCACATTTATTCTTGTGTTCTACCGTTCATTTTTCCACATACATGAGGCCTGGTTCTTGTTTCATGTTCCGCTTGAACCTCATGAACAATGAAATCCAGAACGATTGTCAGGCAAGTTATTTCAAGATGTTTAAATAGAATAAAAGCAGCACAATTTACTTTATTATCCTCTGTTAACGAAACATCCCCGAGGACTTTCGAAAACATTGAACTGACAGAGGAAGCTCTCAGTGACTGCCAACCAGCTAAGCATGTATAATCAGCGGAGAAAATTTGCCCAAATCAATGTTTATGAAGATGCAAGCTTCAATAGCTCAGTCACATGAGCTTGGAGAGTATTCTGACCGTAGGGAGATTTTAAACTCAATGTTTATGAAGTGTGTGTTTCAAAGTTTTATTTAGCCCCAGAGGGTTTACTGCAGAGCAGGGTGTGTTGGCTTTGTCATAACACTGAGGCACATGTTGTTCTGTTTAAACCAATAAGACATCTGAAAACACCCCAAACGCACTGTCACTCATGGTCCACAGAAAACAAACAAAGCCCAGATAACACAGAACAATAGGCCTATTATTCTGACTTCCAGCAAGTTTGTGTCATAGTTTTGTTGTATTTCATCCTACTGAAAAATAACCGTGTTCATGTTTTTCCCTCGTTATTGATTTCCACGTCCTTGGCACAGAGGAAAGTCAGCTCTACTGCTGTTAACCTCTATGTAAGGTTTTTCTCTTAATAACAGATGAAAGGGAAAATATTTGGTGAAAGGAAATAATCTATTTTAACCTTTGAGATTGGAAGGGAATCAACACTTTCCTGTAAGCCAAATGTTGAATATTGTCAGCTAACAGAAACAAGCGTCCTGCTTTCTGCTTTTTTTCGGTTCCCGCTCAAGTCCTGGACTGCAAACATTCCGATTATTTCGCAATGCTTATGGAGCCAAAAGATATCATGCTCAAAGACAAGAAAACTTTAAACTACTGAGTGTAATTTTCAGTGAAATCTCAGACTGCAGTGACATGAACTGCCACCGCTTCTCCCCCTCCAACCATACGGAGGTCATCTGGGTGCAAAATGGCTTCTGCCCTATCTTTTGAAGATGAAGAGGTTTGCTTACATAGATCATTTCATACATTCCTGCAATTACTTACTGCAATTGTAGTAATTGAAGGATTAAAACTACAATTACTTTTGATGGTCAAAGGTACAACACTGTATTATTTAACCAAGTTATTCTGTACATTTATACCAGAAATAAACAAATGTTTATTTCTTTATTTCTTGTCTTGCTGAATAAAATTGAACTGGATATTGTGTTAATGCGTATTTTATGATATTGCTGTTGGGAGCTGGAGAAAATCCCATCTTTCTCCAGCAGAGTCTGCCGTGGATCCTCTGAGGGAGCCTCCTGCACAGCTGCAGCTCATCAAGATCATCAGAGGATCCACTATATAAGCTGTCTTCAGACCTTGCCTCAACGCCGCAGTGTTGTTCCAGTTGGTCAGCGCTAAAGCCTTGATCTCAGTGATTATTCCTTGACTCTAATCCCTAGTTGGATTCTAACCTCTGTTTCTGTGCCTCTAGGAAACTCGTGCTTCCTCCGTGAAAGCTCTGGAAGAGCTAACCTGCCGAGCCGACCCTCAGAGCCAAACCCTGAAGATTCTCAGACTACCTCCAAGCAGCTCTGGGCTAGAGCTGGAAAACCAAGGCCAAGGTCTGCTCAAGCTAGACGTGAGACGCTGAAGCAGCTAACGGACTCTGCTACTAAATCCTTCTCCAGAACCAACAGTGACTCTCCCAAAGAGAACCTCAAGAACCCTCAAGGTACCATCTGTGCATCATTGGAAACCAAACCCCGTCAACAGTCCTTAACTGTGCTGTCTCTCACGCAGACTCCGATGAAACCAGAATCCAGGCCCGAACCAGCCTTCTGCATATTCAGTGTGATTGTGCAAATAAACTTGTTAAACTTTTCATCCTGTGTCCGTCAGTGGTGTTCTGCATCTTTGGGTCTCCATTAGAGAACCGATCATGACAATTGCACCTTAACTGGTGCCTCCTGCACATTAATCAAAACCATTTGAGGTCTAAAAGAAAATCTGTCTGTAAATGCATCAGAATAAAACAGTGACACACGTCATTTTTTTCTTTTTTGTGTTAAATTCAGGTCTACCTAGACAGCATTCGCCCAGGTCTTATTTTCTACTGTAAAAAACACCAACTGACAATGATCCATGACAATCACAAACAACTCACTCAACCCCAGAGACATGTTTTAACTAGTGTTGCGCCGATGCCATTTTTTGGCCCCGATACGATACCCGATACCTGGCTGTGCAGTATCGGCTGATACCGAAACCATTTGCTTGAAATTCATGTGTGTGTATGTATATATATATATATATATATATATATATATTCTGTTTTCTCTCCTGTCCTCCGGCAGGCATTTCAGGTGCCTCCGGACCGGAACCAGCAGACTAAAGAACAGGTTTTCCCCAGAGCTGTCTCTTTATTGAACTCTAACCCTCACGAATAGACTCTACTCTCCTTCCTCACACCTACCACCATTTTGCTATTCTGTTTTTTTACAAAACTGTAAAGTTCACCTGCACTCCTGACTGTTACTATTGTAACAACTCTTTATATGCATCTTGCATCTGCCGACTGTTTATTCACAGTACCAATTGTTTACATATACATTTGCAATAATGTACTTTAACTGTAATATGCAATTACCTTCCACTGCACTTTAATTTAGTTAGCTTCTGTCCAAACTTTATTTATTCATTTTATAGTAAAACCCATCTGTATATATGCTATTGTAGCCTACATAACTGTAAAAACCATTTTTATAGTAATATCTACCTGTATATTATATTCGCTACATATCCACCTGTAAATTTAGTTCATAATACTTGTGATCTATATTATATTTATTATTTATAATTGTATTCATCTTTATACTCATTCAGTAGAAACCCATGTGCTGTATTTATGGAACCATTATTTATCCTGCACTTGCTGCTATTGCACTTCTGGTTAGACCTAAACTGCATTTCGTTGCCTTGTACCTGTACCTTTGTAATGACAATGAAGTTGAATCTAATCTATTTGAAGAACTGCATACAGCTTGGATGTAAATAATTGCCATCGTGGCTTTGTCAAGCTGCTGCCTACCTTTGTGAAGCAGGAAAAAGACTAATACAAAGTGAATCCAGGAGAACTTTATTGTCTACCTGGAATGGGTGACAATAGTTGAATAAACGTTTTGCTTTCAAAATGGTATCAGTGCTCTATTTGTTGGTACTCGCCGATGCCGATACCACTATTTTAGTGCTGGATCGGGGCCCTGCCTGATACTGGTATCGCTATCGGTGCAACACTAGTTTTAACTAGGCGAGATCCTGAACTGCTTTTCCAGGTTTTGATTTTTTTTCATCTTGTACAAAGGTTCCAAATTATAGACCAAACTTCAATATGGCTAAAAAAAATCTGAAAAATAATTTAATTTTTAGCTTTTATAAATGATGGGTTCTGGATTCTGCATCTTTATTATTTCTTTTTTATTTTATTTTCTGCCTTTTGTTCAGTAATTTTTGTAGTAATTCTAATAGCAACTTGTTTTTAGCACATTTGTTCATAATCTCCTTTTTTTCCTTCATGTTCAGCTTCTTCTTTTGCATATTAGTGTAATTTATTGTCAAAGTCAGCTGGAAGCACTTTATAGGCTCATCATTCAAGGACTTTAGGATTATTTATATGTTTTTAGCATTGGGCAAATATAATTAGTATGAAAGGAAAAAAACACAACAATAATTTTATTTTTCAGACATTAGAGGTAGATCTACACAAACCAGCACCCAATGTGGAATGTTTCAGTGAAGCTACAAAGCATAATTAAACAGTGATTCATTTGTTATTAATCACCAAAGCATTTTTAGCAAAATCCAATGATGAGGTTTTTTTTTTTACTATTTGGGAATTAACTGGTGCACAGCACTGAGTTTAGCAACATCTTCTGTAACACGGACCAGTGGTAAAGTAGGAAGAGGCTTTACAGTTCAGTTCAGTAAAGGCTTCAGTTCTCAGATGTCCTGGATTTTAAAAAGGGTTTTCTAGTTTTGTGTATACAACACACCCAGTAGATTTATTCAAAAGTGTAACCTTGACATTTGTAATGCAGTCCTATAATTAAGACATTTAACCATTTGGAAAACCCTAGAGAATTGTGTCATGACTTTCTCAGCCTCTGGTGCTTAATTCTTAACATCAAGGTTAAAAACCAGGCACCGCTGTGGATGGATGTTACATTAGGGCAGCAGCTAAAACACATCGCTTCCTTATGTGACATCATACAAAAAACGCATTAATTGAGGAAAGATATGAGGAAGTAAAAAGCAGGACTACACAACATTGGTTCATCCTTGGGAACCAGGTTCCTGAAAGTAAGCCTGTCATATTAGCAGGTTGACCAAAGTGCACTTGAAACCAAAACCAGAGAGGTGGAAGAAAAGGATATTTGGTATAAACAAAAGTCAAACTTACAGCTCGTCGTGTGAGAAATAAAAGTATTCAAATTGTTCTAAATGAGTTAAAAGCTAATTTGACCTCATTCCAAACTCTTCAAGTAAAAACTTTGCTTCTCAAACATCAAACCTAAGCCAAACTGTGATATCATTGCTTTATTTGATTGATTATGCTGTTTAACCATTCTTATTTCTTCTTGTATGTTGACATATTAACTTAGTTTGGTGGAATTTTACTAGTTTGGTTCAGATTATTTAACAGAAATATGTTTAACTTGGGATTGAATTATTTCTGTAAATAAATTCTTATATGTTGAATGGGAGTTGTTCTAAATGTATTCCATATGAGTGCAGAGTTCCATGATTTGAGCTTCCTAACACACAGCCAGTTTGGCATCTGTTCACAGAATAAGGTTATTTCATTAAATAACAGAGCAGCATTTAATTGCATAACAACATTTATCTCTGTAGAGGCTTTAGAAAAGATGCTTTTTTCTCATGTAGATGATCAGAGAAGTAAAGTGGGGGGAACTGTGGGTACCTTGACCTCCCTCTCCTGCAGGCCTTTGGCAGAATGAGCTTTGACGTGCTTCCTTAATGAGCTGGGATCTGTGTAACGCTTGGTACACCCAGGAATCTGACAGGCATACGGCTTCTGTCAATAAAAACACAACAAAGACAACTCAGAAAACTACAAGAGGAGTCCATGTCTAACACGATAGGAATGCCTTACATGCCATTTTATCTTGTAGCTGCTCTTCCCTGAGTTATGCAGCCTGTGCTTGGTGCCAAACCCATAAATCATGAAGCATGCAGGAGCATGACAGGTCATTACAAAAATATCCAAATATATGAATGTTTATTAATTACATTACAGATGAAAGACTGTCTGGCTGAGCCAAGTTCACACATTCATTTTTAAGGGTGACTTCATATATAAAGAATTTAGTGCAGACTAGACAAAGGAATTATTTCTCCTGAGCTGAGAATGCATAATATTTACCTTTCATCTGAAAGCTAAAGGGAGGAAAAACAAGAGAATTCAGAAACAAATTAAATGCTCAAACGAGCAACAGCTAATTTATTCGCTGCAGCAATTATAATTTTATAGATGAACTTATGTGTTGATAAGTGGTGAAAATAAAACAATTAGACATAATGTTAAATAAACATAAAGTGTTCTAAAGCATTCTAACTATGCAAAACACAAATAACCTGCATACTGTTCTCTGTTAACCTCAGAATCCAGCAGAGCTACATTTATACCACAAACATATTGTTATTGCAATATCAACGGAAAGAGAGAACAAAAATAGGAATAAGAGACAAACATTAAATCAAACCAGCTTAGAATAGAGCAGGAAAAGGTCAGTTATATTAAAGCTTAATCCCATTTTTACTCATACAATAAATACATCATGTATTTCAGTCTAGAGTATCTAAAAAAGTATTTCAATCCATAATGTGTCCTTTTTGTCACATTTTCCTTTTTCACTATCTATAAATATATGGCCCATATCAAAGAATAGTTTCTAATGCAATAATTGTCTGCTAATATAAGTGTATTTAACTTGCCTTTGTGCGTTAATATAATATTTAGCCTATTTTTCGAACTGTTTATAAATGGAATTACTCAAAAGGCTCACAGGGAGCTGAAAGAATGGGTGATAAAAAGAAGAAGAAGAAGAAAAAAGCAATATAGCTTTCTGTTTCATAATACCATGCGGTAATCCTCAGTAATCCATCAGAGATCTGTGATTACAATTAACTTTAAAACTTCAATTAATATTTTATGTCATTTTGCACTTTTGCATTTCATTCCGTAAAAATTCCAAAAACATCCACTGGACTTGGCTTCCAAGATTTGAAGACATTTCGCCACCTCTCCAGGAAGCTTTCTCAATTCTGGATCCGCAGTCAGTTTGAGTCTTTATATAGAAAAAGCCTTCTATCGCTTGGAAACATGCAAATCTTGGAAAACCAAGTCCAATGGATATTTTTTTTATTTTTACGGAATGACTATGACCTGGATGACTGAGAACCTTCATCAGTTTTTGCATTTCATCTCTGGAGGAAATATCTCATAAACATTTTTATTTGCAGATTTATAGAAATAACTACACAACTCATTAGATTCATTGACATAACCTACATGTTCATTAAAACTAAGCCAAGTTTAAAGTCTTAAAACTCATGCAGCAGATTTAGTAATTACTTTAAAGCACGCTTTAATTAAATGGTTAAACGATCATACAAAAAAAAGGTTTTACATTTATTGAATGGTCCATGCAAGGTCAAGTGTATTCATACAGGCAGAAATATGTGCATAAATGTTCACTGATGATGAAGTGTCTATTAGCACTTTGATCTTTCTTTTTATCAGAAAATGGCAGAAAAGTTGCTGATTTTCTTTCAGCTTTTAAACATAGTCAAAAATGTTTTATAGGGTTGAGGTCTGGACCATTTCCTAAATGTTTTCCCGTTTTGATCAGTGTTTGAAATAACAGCTCTGCTGGAACACCCAATTATGTCCTAATTTAAAGAGCGCAGCTGTTTATTTAAAAGTGAAATTATAGAATTTTGAGGCACTGCTCTGTTTCCTTAACTTAACCGAATTTGCGTAACGCATCAGTGCCACTGGAGACCAGACAGATACTGATCATTGTGCTACCACCACAATCATTAACTGAGGCATTCTTTAGTTTTAATGCCAAATCTTGACTACTATTAGTCATTCTGGCCAAAAATATTTTGCCTTGACTATAGAAAAAAACTCTACTTTTCTGAATGTCGAAAGTTGGTACTTTTGGTCAAGATTTTTTTTTGGGCCCAGCACTATTTTCTATTTTTCAGAGAGTAAAGTGATAAAATATGCTACACAGAAAAGAAAAACTGGGGCATGCTTTGGTGCCGCAGTGCTTAGTGCACACGACCCATGCATGGAGGCGTTAGTCCTCGACCTGGGTTCTAGTCCGGCCTGTGGTCCTTTCCCACATGTCCTTCCCCCCTCATACCCCCTTTCCTGTCAGCCTACTGTCCATAAAACGGACCACTAGTACCGTAACAAATCAAAAAATAAATAAATTAATAAATTCACGATGCTAGAGGTCATGTTTCCAGTACAGACCTGGTAGTGACAACGCCTTTACATTTGATTCCCTTTGGTATTCCAATGTGGTTCTGTCTTCCTATTGACTACTCTTATAAGATGTTTTAAAAACTCTTCTAATTTGAGCTCTTCATTTGTTTTTCTTCTTGTTCTTACATCACTTCTCATCCTGCTTTTAGTAAGTTGGGGGCCTGGCAGTTGTTTACCCACAGGGCCCCCAGCAACAGTTGTATCATGTGTGTCAGGTTCTGTTTTAGGTTATCAGACTGGATTTGCTATAACTCTGGTACAGTTCAAAGAATCACAAATAAGCAAAATAAAATAAGACAAGGCTTAGAGCAGGGATTCCAAAGTACAGTAGGGGGCACTCCCCTTAGGGGGTGCTCAGTGTAATTGCAGGGGGGGGGCATGCTAGAAATACATGGAATAAAGGAACTTCTTTGAAATAATTAAAACAATAGTAAAATAAACAGCTAAACTTGATATGATTACGCTTTAAAATAATTTGTAATTTATTCTTTTGCAATACTATTTAGTGCAGTTGATTTTCTTTGTTCAACTTTTTTGAGAAGATCAGTGAACAATTGACAAAGCTGGACCCCGACCCAATATTTAGTACCTTTCCTCTCTCATATTTATGAAGTGAATCATTTATTCCCTTGATTCCTATTGAAATTATTTAGCCACTACATCACAGCATTGTTTTTGTATTGCTTTCTTCTTTTAATTTATACATCCAAAAAATGAACACATCACTGTTTTTCAGGCGCTGAAATATTCAATGCACAGAATGATAAAATGCTTGTTTTGTTTATCTTTAAAAGTAAGCACATGGAGAAAACCTTAGTAAATTAGATTGTTGGACAAATGAAAAAAATAAAAAAAGTAATGAGCCATAATTACAGTGCAGTTTTTCTCACTTTTTGCTGGTGAAGATTCTCAGTCATCCAGCTCATAGTCTTTTCAAAAAAAGTAAAAAAAAACAAACCACTGGACTTTGTTTTCCAAGTTTGAAGATGTTTTGCTTCCCATCCAATGAACTGAGAAAGCTTTCTGGGTGGGAAGCGAAAATGTCTTCAAACTTGGAAAACAAAGTCCAGCGGTTTGCTTTGTAACTTTTTATTTTATTTATTATTCTCATAATTTATATTTTTATTCCACACCTTGATGATTTAAACCTCCATCCCATTCAACCCACTTATTCCACATATAAATAACTGAATTATTCTGAGAACTGTCACAAAAATCTGGGGAAAAAAAGCCATATTTAAAAACATCGACGAAAAGGATCACATTAACATACAGTATGAGCCTATTCTACTTTAAAATGTGGATATATAGCAAATAATGACACTCATAAAAGTCTGTAATAACCCAAATGTTGCAGAAACCTGAGGAAGACGAGTTTTATTACCTCAGCAAAACTCACAGAATAAGCCAAATTTAAGCGGCGGTACATTTCTGTGTGCCCTGAAATTATAGGGAATAAAACTCCTTTCATCCTAAAATTACAGCAGTACAATCCATGTTGTTTTATCAAACTTAAATTAAAGAGAAAATATTTTCAGAGGGTGTTATGTTATATTCAACAATTACTTATACGCAGACAGCCGTTTGCTGGGCCTCTAAAATGGCGCCAGAAGTGTCTGATTCTTGATTTGTGACGCAACCAAGAAACCACCGCTAGTCAGAGTTAAAACCACACGAGGGAGAGACCAACTTTCTGCTCCTGTTGTAGTAACAACAGTGAGCTGCATCTCATCCATGTTATAAGAGATCTGATTCGCTGGATTACAGCTAAGTCCTCATTGCTTGTCAGCAGGAGTAAAAATAACTGCGGGCTTCAGGAGTAAATCCACAAAAAGTGGAAAAGCAGTCCAACCATCCCACTGAGCCGAGGCTGTATATCAGGCAGAAAGGGGAGTAACAGGACCAATAGCTCTTTAAATAAAGCTGGTTTTACACATGTCCTGGTTATAAACTCAACTAATTCAATTATTATTTAGAAACTGTTTGAAGCCATAAAATAAAGTAATGTGTAAAAGCAAATACTTTATATACTTTAGAGTCAAAAACTACACCTGTTCAAGTTTATTTAATAGTTTTATTTTTATGGTGAGATAGGTATCTGTGGAGCATATTCCAGTCATAGCAGTAGAGCAATTAAAAAGGTGAATGCATGTGTTGACTGACCGTGTCCAGGTGGGTGCGCTGGTGTTTGGCCCGGTCACTGGAGTTGCTGAAGGCCTTCAGGCAGCCAGGATGTTGGCAGATGTATGGTTTTTCTCCTGTATGGCTCCTTAAGTGGATCTTCAGGTTCTCCAGACGTGAAAATGCCTTGGAGCAGCCTTCAAACTACAAAAAACACCAACAAATAATATTGCAAGTTATAATTTTTTCTATAACCATCATACTGCTGAGTATTTGACAATCATTTAGGATCATCGTAGGATATCTACTATATAACCATGAAGAACAGTTACCCGGTCCTATTAAAGAACAAAGCTTTTCATCAGATCCAAGGGGATAAAGTTTTATTCAAGCTATCTTGGCAATGGAGGGAGTGGCAGCCTAGTGGTAAGGGCGTAGAGCTTAGAGGTTGAGAGTTCGAAACCTATTCCCACAGACTGCCACTCTGGGTCTCTGAGCATCACCCTTAACCCCCGATTGTGCCCCACGATGGCAGCCCACTGCTCCCCAAGGGTTAATGCAGAGGTAAATTTCTCCAATGTGAGATCAAAAAAGTTCAATTATTTCTTTATTACTATTATTATTATTCATTATTATTTTATAAATGCCTACGATTTGGTCCACACTAAAGAAGGGGACGAGAAGAAAACAGCTTTTAACATCCCTACATGACCCGTTTGGTCTGACCAATGGGCAGTCAGTTCTCTAAGCCCTAGTCAATGATGTCCTGAGAAACATTGTTTGTTGTTTTGTTTATGTTTATCTGAAACATTCACCTTCAAACTTATAAAAAATATTGTCACATCCATCTTGCTCTATCTCCTCCAAAACCATTAATTTGTTAAAGCTGATAAATACAGATTTAATAGGTCCTCTGCTTCATTTCTTGGTTTTATGATCACCTCAGATCAAATCTCTATTAACAGGGTTCCTACAGCATAAAGGCAAGTTTAATTCAAGACTTTTTAAAACGTTTTAATGCCGCTTAAAATAAAAATTTAAGACCAACATTACAATAATCACCAAAAAAACCTGGTAGTGACAAATGTACCCAAAGTGTTTATTTTAACATAAACCATTACTTTCTGGCCCAGTAGATCTGTATTAAATTAAAAAAACTTTCCATATAGTAAGAAAGATAAAAAACAAACAAATAACAGATATTTTTAACAACCACTGAACTGAATCCACTAACTTTATTTTGTTCCCTACTCAATCCCTCTACTTTTATTGTTGGTGTACCGCCAAACATTATCCTGAGATTTGGTTCTACGGGCGCTGTTGGTGATGTGAGAGATGCTGTGGAGGCGTTGCAGAAGCAATGGTGGAAATTGCTGCTTCTCTATAACTTGATTTTGAAGCTCTGAGTTTCATGCTTCGCACGTGTGTCTCCACTTCTACATTCCCTGGTAGTGGCTTTAGCCATGCAGAAAACTCTTGGATGGAAAGCCTATTTTTCGTTGAATTTAAACTTCCCCATGTTGTCCAGATAAAAAGTTAGTGGCACATCATCCCAAGGTCCGGCCGCAACAACTTTTTTATTGGTTCTGCTATCGGGACGGAACCGATAATAGTTACAGCGATCGGTTCGGTAAATGTAAGAAAAATATTTTCAATTATTTTATTGTTTGATATGGATTACAAAAATAAAATCCAACTTATGATGTGGTAACAATTTTAAGACCTATGAAAGACTGATTTAAGACATTTTCATACCAATTAAGGCCTTTATTTTATATTGAAGAATTCAATGCCTTATAAGACTTTTTAAGGATCTGCAGGAACCCTGATTATCTGTCTAAAACCAAAGCAGCTTCAGAATAGCCAACTCCAACTGATCACCAGCAGCTACCAACATTTCTGGGTTTCGCTTTTGTTAAATATTTTAAATCTTTCAGACCTTTTTAAAGCTTTTTAAGTCAAAAAAATCTTTTATAAAACCCTGTTTATTTTCTTTTTTTGCATACATGCCTCATGCACTTGCATGGATGAAGACCTACTGACACTGAGAGTATACAGGGCCCAGAAACTGGTGCTCTCCCCTTGCTACTCAGATTTTCCTAATTTTTTGGTTCGTTTTTTTGTTCAATTAAAAAAAAACCCAATAAGCTTAGAAAAAAACAATTTTATCATGATAATGAAAAACACAAATATAAATTAATTAAACTTCAAAATTTGTGTTTACAGTTACCCCATTTATTATGATATAAATCAGCAACTAACAGTCAATCAGCAATCGTAATTTTAAACCATAACTCATTTATATGAAAGAAAGCTATGGTACAGAAAAACTGCTCATATCCAGTTAGAAGCAAACATCAACAGTTAATTTTTCATGCAATACAATGAAGAACATTATAAAGATGAAGCAAAAATAAAAAGCTAAGTGCCTGTGCTTTGAAAACCATTAATAATTTCTTTGAATAAGGGCTTTAAACATCTTCAAGGTGTGAGTCGAAGAGCAGGAAGAATCGCTCCTCTAAACTGTTTTTCTAGCAAACATTCACTCCAAGTTTTATTAGTTCCCACTAATGACTCTGTAAATGTCACTCACCTCATTTATTTTAATAAGTTTCTGTGTAAAAAAAGAAAAATCCCACTACATCATGATGATTAATTAATACAAGGCTTCAAACCACCTCAATATGAAAATACAGACCACATGGAAACAGCTTTTAGATCACGCAGCTTTGAGGCTATAACAAATAGGATTTCAACTCATTGAATTAACAAAGAAAATATTAAACTTAAGCTTTTAATTAGTACTGGACACTGTGTGTTATTAAAACATGCATATATACAATTAATTGCGGGACAGGAATTTTAAATGTATTAACTAAATCAAATAAGAAAATGTATTTTCTAAAAGCGCATTTTAAAATAATATGAAAACATTTCGACTTTTCCAAACTTTCTGTACATTCTTCAAATTATGTTACCATTCTTTTTAACTAAAGATGCACGTGTGGTAATAATAGACAAAGAATGACTATATTTAAGTTTGAATGGTGCAGAGACAGGCAACACATGTATTCATATGTTAAAAAAAATAAACTTTAGATTTCAATCAGTTCAGATATTTATATAGTAGCAATTCACAACATCATCATAAGGGATTTGAGGTGAATTCAATTAAAATAAAAGTAAATTATGCACCTACAAATATGCTACTAGTAATTAAACTATAAAGGCAAGTTTAGTTTATTATTAAAATCAGAAAAGAACAATTCTATGGAAGGAAGCCAAGAGGACTATTAATTGCACTGAGTTATCATCTTTGCAGCAGTTCCTCATACTGAACACATATGACAAAAACCTTATCAACAATTTAAGCTTACGAGAACAAGTCTGGATGGTGACAGGTTTCTTATATTGTGAGGTTATCGTGACACTGCTACACTATTGTTTGGTTGTGCACTTGTCCCCTTAAAATGACCATAAAGAGGCTCTGAAACCCAAATATGCTTTTATTATTAAGTATTCTCCCAGAGAGGCAACTGCTGGTACAAGCTGCCCCTGGAAGTAATGCCCTCTTTAATGAGAAACCATCATGACCTCACCCTGGGGCTTTGGCACAGATTTAGGTTTTTAAATTCCATAGTTCTGGACTCAGATTTTTTTTTTTTACTATAGTTTAATGTCATCGTAACCCCCCACCACCCTTACAGGGGAACAGAACACCTTGACTGTTCAGCCAGGCCAAAACTTCCCTTTAACGACCCCCACTTTCAGAGACATAGATAGATAAAAGGTATTGCAGGCTAACAAAGAAGCAAAACGACCCCCATTCCAACAGGGCGGACCTGTTCTTACGGTTCAATTTGCCTGTTTTCTAAGCCAAAACAAGGCTTCGTTTTTGGTCCACTCTATAAAGCCTCAAACTCAACGCTTTTTCTGACATTTTGAAATGAAAAAGCTCCCTGGATCGGAAGCGAAACGTCCTCAAACTTGGAAACAAAGTCCTTTGGATTTTTTTCTAAGCTTTTTTGGAATACCTTGATACTTATGTCTACAGCTGAGGGCTATAAAAATGTAACCAGGAAAACACGTACAGTAGACTAGACAGATGATTTCACCAAGATCACTGAATAATTTTTTGTGAGCTTTGATATTGTTACAACGCCATACTCCTGTGTGAAGGAGGCCTAAAGTCCAAACAGATTCAGTTGTTTATGTTCCCATGTATTTAAACTGTTCCAAGGAGGAAAATACATTAAAATATTTCCATTCAGCTCATATTAGTTCACATATAGTTCTTAAAAAGTAACTTCGGTTTGCTGAGAATCATCAAGGAACAAAAGTTCAATATATCGAACTGATTCATAACTATAATGCGGTTTCACTGAATAGAAAACTTTACACCACATTTTCTTGTAAAAACAGTTTGTTTGGTTGTGCAAAAAAATTCCTAAACTGCTTTGTTGTCTGATTTACTTTGTATTTTGTTCCAAATCTTTCCTTAGATCGACACATAAAATAGTTGAATGCAGAAAAAGCTTATGGTTAAAAACACCCAATACACAATCTTTCCCTGCCACACCAATATAAAGCTGCTTCAAAGATGTGACTTTCTAAGTGCAGAATTATTGGTGTGTTCTCATGTTAATCTTACTGCTGTCTCATAAATCATGACAGGAACACGGTGGAATTAAAAGACTCTTTAGGGACTCGTGTTTACGGCCTGAATAACACCTGGCGACATTACAAGCTGGTAAATAATTCAGAATACATTAATAAACACTGACCACATTCATGTGAAATAACTCATTTTCCACTGCAGCAACAGAAGAGACTCAGAACGCTGTTAAAATGAAACTACTTTATTTGTCTAGTTCAAGTATGACAAGTGACTAATTTCTGGTGATGTTGATTTAATATTAATCCAGAGAAATACATTAATAAGCGCGCAGCAACATGGAACATAGTAATGAAGTGATTAAGTTGAATAGGAAGCAGGTATTCGTTGCTGAAACCTTTCAAATTAGTTATTAATCAGTTTTGGGCTGATGACAGAGGGGAAGTACAGAGTGTTAGACGCTTTCAGAGAGATGAATTTGGTTCCTTGGAGAGCCAGAGACGCTGCTGTGGGCTCTGTTGGGATGGGTAACGCAAACACCCGTTAAAAAAAAAACGAAACAAACCTCTTAGTTACACTAACACTGAGA